AAGGGCGTGAAGGAGGAGCCACAGAAGCGGAGCCCGGTTTTGGGGTAGGGATGAGCGGGTCTGATTGCATCAGAGCCCTATCCCAACGGAGCCTCCGAAGCCGGTTTTCGCGGTTCTTCCTAGCCTGCTTAGAGAAGGCTAGGCAATGAACACACTTATCCGTCCTATGCCCTTCCCCAAGGCAGAGGAGGCATAGGTCGTGCGGATCGGTCGGTGCCATCTTTGACCCGCAATCAGCACATTTGCGGAAAGCCGCCCGCTGCGCCATCGCAGAAAGGGGAAGAAAAGAGAGATAGTGCAGAGGGTAAGTATATATTTTTTTGGTTTTTTTTTTTTTTTTTTGAATCGAAGAAGAAGTGAGAGAGAACTACACAAGACGGGAAAAACGAAGTAACAGGAAAGTAGTTTAAGGGCAATATATAAAGAGAGAACCAGAATGGCCAAAGCGAAGGACGAAAGCAGCGCGAGGCACAGCGAACGGCGGTCGCAAAGACTAAACAAATGGCGGACGCTCCGCTCTTTATAGCCTGTGGGGGAGGGGAGCAGAGCTTCCCGCCAAAAACCATTAGCTTTCAATCTTCCGGCCAAAGGCACTGCGCAGGCGCAGCACCCATATGTGTGATGCACAGAGGCCACGACGAAGAAATAAAACAATTTAAAAAACCTGTTAATCCACAAGCATTTTTGATGCTTGAAAAGGTGGACAGATTTCTTGCAGGGGAGAGCCAATGTCTGGCTTTTACCTTAGGCTGTACAAAAGCAGTTGGGTGCTGTACTGCAGAAATGTGCAATCTCAAAAGGTGTGAAATTATAAAATACCCCCCAGACTTCAGTGATTCTGTAATCTCAAAGTGTGCATTTTGTTCTTTACATAAAAAACTGCTTTCACTCATTATATTTAATTGAAAACTCTAAATTCCAGTGTTTCAGTGTATTTAAAAACTAATGCTAATTAAGAGGCAATTAAGTTGGGTTTCATGATAAAAATAGAAACCCTTTGATCATAACATTATTTGCAGTTTTTGCCTAGCAAAGCTTTTTGAACATACTTAACAGATTAAAGACTGAAGTAAATGTAAGAGATTACTAATTCTATATGCTATTCCCACAAGCATCAACATTTTACACAGAAAATAGAAAAGACTGAAAGTTCCAAAAAAATGTGCACATGGCACAGGCATTTCTCTCCATTTATGTCTAAAGAAGCAGTTTCTACCTGCAGTTTTTACAAAGACATGGGATACATTTTGCTTTGCATCTTGGTTTCTTGATTACCTGTAACCTGTGTCACAGGTGTATGAGATATTAGAAAGGTACGTCATGCCGCTCATTGTATACATTCCATTGTTTATTTCCTTTGGGATGGAACATTTTACTAATTCACAAAATGGAGAAGAATCATTCCACCTGCCACTGGCCAGACACACCGTTTCTTCTTCACCCTTCAAAACATATCCCTTGTCACACCTGCATTTAGGCAAGAAAGCACATATAAGTACATACTCTTTATCAGTATCTTTCCTGTTCCATGAGCTCAAGTCCATAAATGGTATTCCTACCATAAAACTATGGGTGGAATCAGATGGCTCCCAATCATGTGGCGATCATACTTAAAACTTGCTATGCTCTGGTGTGCAAGTTGTATCATGTAATTCACACTGGTGTACAACCACCAGCTTTTTGTTAAGCTGAGGATTCCCATGCCTTCCTGTTTCCCCAGATTTCTGAACAGCTGCAAAGCAATGCATGGTCAATCGTGGGACCATGGATGTAGGCTGCCATCACACCAGCGATCATCACCACAGCAAAATGAGTCTTTAAGTGACTACTTTATGGTTATTATTAGGTATCTGATTCTAGACCTGTGTGAAGTTTACACTGGTTAGATGTTACATTTTGGAATCTAGGTAACATACAAAGGAAAGGTTAAGATATACTATTTTACATTCTCACTGGAATTTCTAGCTATGACTTTGTTGCCTTACCATTTAATAATGACTCATGTACACAAAAGTATGATAGTTGCCGCTCTATCAATTGCAATATTTTGTCCTAGCATTAACAGTTTTTGCACTTTTAGTGCAAAATGGTTTTTATAACAAGATAGTAAGCTGTTACTTATTGCTACTGCAGCAGTGCCATTGCATTTTTGAATAGTTTCAAAGTAAATAATTACATATTTCATACAGCCTGGCAACTACAGAATTTAATGTGTATGCAGAGCATTACACAGCAGTCATGTTTTATTTTGGGCAAAACCCATATGTGATGTTGTTGATGATAAAATGATCCAACTAATCCCTGCCTCCACCCAAACTCTAAATTGCAAACTCCATGAAATGAAATGAATAAGGTTCCATGTGGAACTAGTCATCTCCCACTAATTTCTACAGTGTACGATTTAGCTGTGATCTTTTCAAATTAGTAATGCATTTTTCCATATTCACCAATAGATAACAAGTTTCAAATACATAATGATCTTCCTACCTGTAGATCACTTTGCTACCATATGTAAAATTGGATCCATCAATTGCACCATTTTGAGGAATGACTGGGATACCACAGGAAACAGCTTGAAGAAAAATTAAATGTAAAAAAACAGACACCACCCTGATTAAACAACAATTTAAAAAACCCCTCCTTTTAGTCTAGTGTAATATCCCAGAAAAAGACATAAAAGAGAGCCCTAGTTTTATTATAGAATAGCCCAAAGACAGAGAAAATCTAACACCCAAGCTGTCATTGCAACAGGAGCACAAGGATTTGGTGAGGAAGAGAAAGCCTTGGATGATGGGAAGAAATGCCCCCTCCTCTAAAGCCATCCTGACTGCAATTCTGGGTCCTAATACTAAGCTGTACAGAAAATATCTATTGTACCTATCTTCTCAGGTCATGTATGCATTACATACGTTACATGCGCGTGCACACATGCATGCATACAGACACACAGCATAAACGTAAAGGATTTGCACAAGCAATTGTACTCTGGTGAGCGTGCTGAGAATTCTCCACATACAGCCAAACCTATGGCCCCCGGGCAGTGTCTGGGAGGCCATAGGACTATTTGCATCCCCAGATCTGAGGTTTTCTTCCTCTCTTTTCATCTCATAGTCAATGCAGCTCTTTCTGCATTGAAAGCAAACAACCCACGCATGGTGACTTATCATCCAGGGTCCCCTCCTGTAACATGTGAACTGGCCATTTTTATCATATTTCACTGTACCTCAGAGTGAGATTTAGCTGCAACAGTGGTAGTGGGGGAGAACTATTGTACTATGGCATTCATTAATTGTATTGTAGTGCTTTTGTTATGTTTATATTAATTGTCGCATTTTCAATTTTGTAAACCACCCCTGGGAGCCTGAGCTGATAGGAAGTGAAGAAATGAAATAAATAAAATCTGTACCTATCACAATAAACATGTGGGAAACAATACCTTCACAGTATGGAATCAAGTGGCTCCATTCCCCAGACTCCAAACATGTAACTTTATTCACTCCTTTCAGCTGGTAGCCCTTGTCACAGGAGAAACTGATTTCGCTACCAACACTGTAACTGTTGCCATGAGAGTGGCCATGTTCAGGGTCTCCTGGATGTTTGCATTTTACTGGTTCTTTGGAATCAGATACAAGGTAAAACAGAGCTTACTGACATCAGGTGTGGCTCATGTGCTTAAAAATGAAAACAAATCATGCAATATTTAAGCAGGTAATTTGGAAGGAAAAAAGGCCCAGTCACAAGAGCATGGGAAGCACACACAAACATTTTGAAGGACAATTCAAAGGACATTTCAAACGTTTGTGTTTGCAGACTTCATTGATCCTGGGCTACCCTGCACAAAGAGATATTTGCTTCCTTATCCAGTTCAATAATATTCCAATAATTCATATGCATTCTCTTTTCCTTACAGGAGAAAAGGACACAAATATTCCTTAACACACTGTCTTGTGTGAAATACAGTGGAATAGAAAATTAAATTCCAGACACATACTGACCTCCCTTTTGTTTTAGCACTGTGCATGGATGTAAGCTAAACCCTTATTTTCATAATGGGCATGATAAAAGAATAATGAAAGCAATCCATCCCGATGCATATCTGTTCAAAACACCCCTTTTTGGAACTGTACTGCAATTCTCTTTAGTGGAACAAAGCTAAAGAAATGGAAACGCTGTTCCTACTGAACTGTATCTTAATTATATTCAAGAAGACAGAAAAACAGTATTAGTCTATGTCTGCATTTTTTCTGCAAATGGTGGTGAAATAACATTTAGGAGAAAGTTAAAAAAGCAAACAGACTCATACTTCCTTGTATTAACTTTCCATTCTGACAGAAGGACTGTTATGATGAAGTCTGTGGTATCACCACTAAAGGTAGCATTATCCACTTGATGGCACTATCTTTCAGAATTTACTCCTAGAAAAACCATTCTGGCTCTTAATCTTTGCAAAAGATAATAAGTAAAAAGGGACACCTGATCATCATCCCGTATACTTCTCCGTTCTCTGCCAGAAACAGTTGATACCACAGAGAAAGGATCAAGTTTTCTGCCTTTTTCATCATACTAGCAGCAGTTATTATGCCCAAATTTTAAACACCTGGATTTTGCATCCCAGGCGATCACCACCACCACACAAGTAAATATGACAATCCGTTGTGACGTGTGGGGGAAGAACTTATCAAGGGGCTACCCTATTCAACAATACCTCCAGATTTATTGTAGCATGTGCTTACACCCTGATTTACACCTCTTCTCTTAAGCAGTGTGAATTGTTCTCATTAAAATCCCTTAAAAGTAGAAGGATCACTGCCAAAGTAGGAATGCTTAAATAAGCCATGGCTACTTCAAATGTTGATTTAGTTTCAAGAAAACTAAAAATAGGTTTTGTAATAAAGACTTATCAGTTGCTTCTGTTTTTTTAGGATAAAAAATAGTGTACTTGAAAACAGCATGGACTTCAAGGAAGAAAGCATCACTGTTTAGCCAGCCTCCAATTCCGCTGTACTCAAACTGATGCAAGTCTTGCCACTAACTTCAGCATTACCTGCATGGCAGGTAGCTTGGGATCTCAGAAATGTATTTGAACGGGAAGCCAGCCATAACTAAAACACAAAACTGCCAAGTTATGCAGAATACAAACTGTGGTACTCCCCCGCCCCATCCACTCATGCCCCTTTACCTGCACACTTCTTGCCATCACCACTATATGGGTAAATGCAGGTGCATATGTAGGACCCATTTGTGTTAAGGCAGGAGGCGTGTGGGTCGCAGTCCGAACCAACTGCACATTCATCAACATCTACAAAAAGAAAATGGCATGGGTGACAAGCTTCTTCTGCATGCACATGTTTGTGATTTTCGCTGGTCAAACTCTTCCCCCAGACACATCTGGATGGTGCCCTGCTCTCTTAAAAGCCTCCCCCTAGTCATACTTGCTGCCTCTTCAGTCCCTCCCACAACTCAAATTGTGCTGTCCCTTTCTCACTTTCTTCCAACCACAACACTGTCTTCTTCTGTGTAGTTGCACCCACTCTGTCCTCTCCTCCAACTGAAGCATACTTATATGACAGTTACATTTTTTAATTTGCTCAATAACCAATGTTATCTGGGTAGATTACACACAGTTGAAAGACTGAAATACCATACAAACAGAAGTATAAAATGCAATATTGAAAAGAATAAAATGCAATATGATAAAATGCAATATAATAACCCAAAGAGCATACATGTACCTTTGCTCCCATTCCACCTTTTCTATTTTCCTCCTCCCGCTCTGCCATTTTAATTTCTTCCTCACAACCCAGATTTAAATTTAGATTGCAAGGAAATGCTGATCTATATTGTGCTTATCTTACTCTCTAAATTGCCATATAAACTGCTGACACTAGATTTGTAACAATCATAGAAATATAATCTGTGGTTGTCTAGATATTGCTACTGTCTCAGAAACTCTGAGGCTGGTTTAGTATCTTCAAACAAATATAAAGACTTTCATGCTGCCAAGATCTATTAAAAACATTGCATGAAAAACTGAAGAAGGCCTGCATGTGCATACAACTGTTTTATAAATATGTAAAAAAACCCTATCAAAACAGATGCTGAGCAATGTCAAAAATGCAAACATGTATTTTTGCTATTGTAAGCAATGCCTCAAAAGCTATTTAACTAAGTTTAGCCTGAGATGTAAGCTGAATGACTTTCTGAAATGTATAAACCAACATGCTTTGAAGGAAAAGCCACATGGTGGGCCACATATATCCTACTGCCAGGAACTGAAGGGCTCACATCCAAAATCCTGTGTTGGCAAGAGGGACTGTGGCTTATGTATCTTGAACAACAGCTCCACATGCTTCTTAGCAAGTTGCTTTTGAAATAGAGGGCCCTTTCAAAAGCAATTTGTAATAAGCCATGGGAGAAGAATTCTTTTTGAAAGAAAACAGTTTTCAAGAATCCCTCTGGTGGATGCAAGAGCTCCAGCACATGGAAAGAAGCTCGTTGTGTGCTGGCCAAAATGCTTACTTAGCCAGGATGCTTAGTTTTGATTTGAGTCAATGAGACTTGGGGGGGGGGGCAGATAAACGAGCAGGGATTTTGTGTGCTGATATTAACAACACGGTCTATTTTGTTCATGAACTCACCAAGGCAAGATGGTGAAATAACCGTCCAACTGCCACTGTTTGTGCAAAGCATCCTCGAGTCCCCCAACAAGTAGTAGCCACTGTTGCACTGGTAGGTAACGGTGCTTCCAGCAACGAAATCCTCAGCAGTGTAAATGCCATTTTCTAAAGGTGGAGGCACTCCGCAGCGAATCCCTGCATGCAGACGATATAGGACGAGAATGAGGAGGTGAGGCATGTTTGCTTAATTTCTTCTTGATGTGAGTTTAGGACCATCAGAAGCTGCCTTAATCTAAGTCAGAGCATGGGTCCATCTAACCCAGTATCGTCGACACTGACTGGCAGAGTGTGTCCAGGGTTTCAGGCAGGGTTCATCTCCAGCCAGATCTGCACATGTCAGGGACTATATTGGGGCTTTCTCTATACAAACCAGGTGCTCTTCCACTGAACAGTGGCTCCTCTGCGAGCTGTCTTAACTGCTGGACAGAATATCATTTTGACTAACTTCACCTGTGTTAAGCCTACACAAGTCAATGTCTTTGCTCCAGGCTGTAATCTAGAGTTATGTGCTATGAAAAGGCGACTTCTCCACCTGACTACAGCCATACTGTAAGCTTCTTCCAAAACTCAAACAATATGGAAAAGCAGATTGCAAAGGGGTGAAGTGTGAGAAGAGGAGGGGACAGCTGTCATCCTGAAAAAGAACACATTAGCAGTGTGTAAACTTTGGTGCATCTGCATGTTCCTTTTTGCCAGATCCTATCATTTTAATGCTGTAACCCTTGTTCCATAATTTTCTCATGACTATCTACCTCTTATTGTCCACTGAATATAGCACATTCCATGAAAAGTGCTGTACATTTCAGAGCATTTTCAGGACCATGATTTATTTTTGTTTCTAGTGATTGCCTAAGAATTATTTTCTAGATGTGAGGGCAGCATACCTACGTATCAGAATTGGGGTATCACTGGATTTCTATATAGATGAACAATTACAAAGTTGAAGGCCACTTAGGCAGAAAGTGGCTGTTGAAGCTTTACTCTACCTTTGCTAACTACTTCTCTCTAATATTTTTTTTCTCTAGGTGGGGCTCTGGGTAGAAATCTACCATTGGGAGAAAACCAGCTGGGGAGAAACAATAAAGGGTAGGATGAGAAAAATGGGTACATAGCTTGAGGGCTAAAATGTCTTCTAAAGAATCAGACATTGTGCAGAAAATGCCTTGTGCAGAAAAGCTCTTATAGGAAAGTTCTTATTTTGTACATTTCTAAGAGATAGTTTCCTCCCCGCCCCCCCTTTTTTTTTTTTTTGTGGGGTGGGGGGACCCACCAATCAAACATGTAAAACTTCTCTGTGTAGTTTGTTGAGGGGAAGAAGAGCAGAAGCAAGTATTTTTCTGTTTATTTTGTATTTACTCATGATAGTGTACCGATCCAAGCACAGTATCATGAGACTAGTTCACCGAAATAGCACTTTTGAAGAGGACAGGACATGTAATTAGCAGGATCAAGGGTGATGTCAGATAAATGATCAAATTAAAGGGATCAAGGAAGCTGTGAAGATTAACTTCAGTCCTTAGTACACCACTGGACCATGAATCTACAGAGGAGTTTAACACTATAGAAGAGTTTAATGCTTGTGGCTGTCTAGCTTTCATCCTGAGGCTTTCTGTATAGAAACTTATTTTTTTGCAGATGCAAACCTCAAGATTAGGAAGACTACATACTTCTCTGCTTCCTCAATCCCAACTTCCAGACAAAATCTGGACAAAGCAGAAGCCCTTCAGTTCTCATAGTTTAACAAATAACCTTCGTTAACTACTAATTCATAAAAGAAACCTGGGAAGAGGTATGATGAAACAGGGCAGCTGAAGGTCAGCTTTAGAATCTGAGGAAGGGTCACAGAAACATAGACATGGAGTGGGTCAGAAGGGGCCTCCTGGTCCATCTAGTCTGACACCTGGCCCCAGCTGGCTCCGCTCATGACATGCCTACCGTGTGCATGCCTAGCCTATCCTTGAACACCCTCAGATCAGAAAGGGCATGATACCCCTGGTTTTAGGCAAAGAAGAGGGTGCGTGAGTGGGGAGTGAACTCTATGGCTAGAGATACCAATGTGCTTAAGCTGCCCAGTCCAGAAGAAAGGGTGGGAAGTTCTAATGGTCCCCTCCCTCTGACGCAGCACATACACATTTTTTAAAAAGCAAAAAGTACAATGTGAATGCAGAGAGGAAAGGGATGTCCAGAAAGGGAAGCAAGAACATGGGGAAATTCTAAGAATAAGACACAGAGGAACCTGAAACTTTCCAAATGATTTGAACTCCATGCCCCCATCCACCCCACGCCAGCAAGGCCAATGGCCTGGGATGATGTGAAACGACATTTGCAAGCCTCAGGTATTCCATCTCTGTTACACCAGCAACTGGACCCCAAACACAATTCCAAAGCAACCAGTTATTCTTTAATTTTTTTATGCCTGGCTGTGGAGCAGTAGATTAACCTGAACTCCTCCCTCCTCCTTCCCATTTCCTGCACAGTAGTGCTACCTCTCCCAGCAAGCACTGCTTCAACGATGTTTCTTAAAGAAGCAACTCCTCTTAGGGACACACTAATCTTGAGTTTAGCTAGGAAAATAAATGGAGCGGGGCTTCTAATTTTCTCTACCTCTTGTTCACTAGACAGCCTGCCAGGAAACTTCTCCTCCTGTCAATTTTAAAATCCATTTTGATATTATGACAGCCCTGTGCTTATTGCACAATCAAGTGCCTTACATAAATACACAGTGCTCTAATTGCAGGAGAAGAGGAACACAGAATCAGAGAGCACATGTGTCCTCTACTGTTCATTTTGTTGCACAAGTGCATGACACAGGCCACAAATGGGAGGGCATGCTGACCACATGCACTCTTTCTTTCTTTCTTTCTTTCTTTCTTTCTTTCTTTCTTTCTTTCTTTATGAGACTTCTATGCTGCCCCATTCGCCGAAGCCTTGGGGCGGCTCACATCCATAAATAAACTTCCTTAAATTAATATGGATTAAGAGTAAAAATTAAGTCGCCCTGGCCAAAGAATAAAATGAATAAATACTATTTACAATTAAAATGACATTTGAATAAAAAGGGCTTCGCCTGGCGCCGAAAAACAAATAACGATGGTGCCAGGCGGACCTCTCTGGGGAGCTCATTCCATAGATTGGGCGCCACCGCAGAGAAAGCCCTCCTCCGAGTACTCACCCTTCTAATTCCCTTCATGGAGGGTTCCTGGAGAAGGGCCTCTCCTGCAGATCTCAAGGGGCAGGTGGGCATATATGGACGTAAGCACTCCTTCAGGTAACCAGGACCCAAGCTGTTAAGGGCTTTATAGGTCATCACCAACACCCTGAATTGGGCCCGGACTTCAATGGGAAGCCAGTGAAGCTGACGGAGGACTGGAGTCATGTGAACATAACGCCCAGTCCCCATCAGCAGCCTGGCAGCTCTATTTTAAACCAATTGAAGTATCCGGACCGTCTTCAAGGGTAGCCCCAAGAAGAGCGTGTTACAGAAGTCAAGTCAGGAAGTCACCAATGCATGTGTCACTGTTGCCAGGCAGTCGTACTCCAGGTAGGGGCGCAGCTGATGGATCAGCCGAAGCTGAAAGAAAGCGCTTCTCGCCACCGCTGTCACCTAAGCTTCCAGTGAAAGCTCTGAGTCGAGGAGCACTCCCAAGCTGCGAACCTTGTCCATAAGAGGGAGTGCAACCCCATTCGGGACTAGGTTCAAATCACCCTCCCCAAAGCCCAATCCGCCAACCAACAGGACCTCCGTCTTGTCTGGATTGAGCTTCAGTTCACCTTCAATGGTTTTAACATAAAGTGTATGATAATTTGGACAATGCAGCCAGAAATAAGGAGGATCTGGGGAATCATTAAAGAAGAAGAGAAAGACATGGGTGGGGAGAAGGGAAGAAGATGCATTAAGGGTCAGGTTCCAGTATTGTTCTGCTTGTTTGGTTTTGTTTACTTTTTTGCTCACTGCAAATCTTGTAAAAATATTATTACATTACGTATTATTATATTACATTTATATTCCACCTTTCTTCCTCTTGCAGGAAACCCAAGATGGAGTACAAGGTTCTTTTCTTTTCCATTTTATCCTAATCACATCCTGTTACGTAGGGTCCATGACAGGCCCGAAGTCACCCAGTGAGCATCATGGTTGAGGAGAACCTCCCAAGTTCCACTCCAGCACTCTTAACCAGACTACTATATTGGAAAATGGATGCCAGGAAAAGAGCAAAAAATGAAATGAAGATGGAAAAAGACAAGAGAGGGATGAGAACAATATCACAAAACAGGTTTTAGTGCTTTTAAGGCATTCTTGCTGATAAAGCACAAGCAGCAGGAAAACGGTCATAAAAGTGGTGTGGAAAACAATGGAATACTGAGGAAGAAATGGCACCAGAGCAATGGCTGGAATGGACATCATGTTTGCCATGTGTAAGCTGGACACTGGAATACTGTGGAAAAATTCCTGCGCTGATCAGTCCTACGATAACAATATATTCTGAAGTTAGAATTCTTATGATTATTCACTTACTTTCACAGTGTGGAAGAGGTAGTGCCCACTGTCCTAAATTTAGACACTGCAGGACAGAATTCCCCACTATGCGGAAGCCTGGGTCACAGAAGAGGGAGACCTTTGATCCTGGCTTTAAAGCCGCAGATGAAGTTCTCAGGTGAGGTATGGAGCCTTCTAAGGACTGGCAATCTGAAAAAAAAAAAAAAATGCACAGACACGTTACTAGAGATACAACACATTTAAAAGCTTGCCTCTGACTTATGGTGACCTTATGAATGAAAGCCCTCCACATTGTCCTATTCACGACACGCCTGCTGAGCTGCATTACACAGTAGTTGAAATAAGGTGATTCTTCAGGTGAGCAAGGTTTTGAGATGGGAGTGTCATAGTTAATCCACCTGAGCCTTATGATGCAGCAGTAGAAACATGGATTTCAATGAGCTCCAGGCAGGGTAGGGTTACAACACTGCTGAACAACTTTAGCTGCTGAGGTTTTACTCCAACCACTCAAGTATTTAACAGTATACTAGCTAACCTGCGAGAGTGAAATATGTTTCTCAACCTCTTTTCAAGGATAAAGCATTCTCTGTGTGAACACATGAGCCTAAAACAATATTTTATCAGGGAAAAACAAAACAAAATCCCTGACTAAGGAGTCAGGACAAATTTAAATTACTGTTTCAATTACTGGAAATCTCTTCCCTCTGTCCCAGTCCTAAACTTCACTCTTTCAACATCTCAGTCCAGGAAACCATAAATATTTTGCCTGAGGTTCCAATGAACATTTATTACACAACACTGGAATTTGAGGAATGGACAGAATGTTCCAGTCATTAAATGATCAAATGTATCTATGCAGGCCAGTGGGCCAAGGGGGTGACTCTATCATTTCACATAACGAGCATCAACATGAATGATTGTCAATTTTTCTACCTTCAGAGAACTCTTTTTGCTGACCTGTCTGTCATGGGAAGTCTGTGCATTATAGCTGATTCTGGCACACTGTGAAGCACAATTAACAACGGAAGCTAAAAATGAAGAAAAGGTGATGCTAATGGTACAGGAAGACTGTTTGAGAAACTGGGTATCAAGATTCCTTGTCTTTTTCACCAAAGGACATTAGAAATAGAACACTGCAAACCAGTGCTAGTTGCAAAGACTGCACATCTTGGTCAGTGTTTATGCACTTAATTAGTTTATCAGTTGTGGCTACTTCAATGGGTAAAATGATGAGCATAAAGGTCAATTTACTACAAGCTTTTCCGCAGACTGAATTATACTAAAATCCTGGCAATTGCAACTATTACTCACACTTAGAACAGTGCTGAGCACTTCCTTTAGAAGAAAAACGTGGATAATCCAAAACGTTAGACAGATGATAACCAATCTGTTAATAAATCTCACCACCAATGGCTTCTTTTTCACTCTTCTACTGGGTGGTCAAACCCTTTCTTTGTTCACATCCAACATGCAGCCCCCCCCCCCCCCCCCGGGACTTCATTATAGTCCCTCATACACTGAGAAGGCATGTTGCAAAGAAAATCAGCAGTGGAAGAAAGACATGCAGTGATGCAGAAAATGCCTTTCAGGAAAGTTTAAGGAAAGCCCTGCTGGATCAGACGAGGGGTCCATCCAGTCCAGAATTCTGTACACCTAGTGGCCAGCTGGCTGCCCACAGGATCCCACAAGTTGGATATGACTGCAACAAGTTTTGCCCAAGTCCTTCAGCTGTACACAGGCACACTGCCTCTGCTACTGGAAATAGTGTACAGCCATCAGGGCTAGTAGCCACTGATAGCCTTCGGCTCTACGAATTTGTCGACTTCTCTTCTAAAGGCATCCAAATTGGCTCCCATCATTACATTTCATGGGAGTGAATTCAATAGTTTAACTATGTGCTGGGTAATGTTTGCCTACCATTGCTGGCTTTCTTACTGTGGTACTTCTGGAAGGCTTTGACTACATATCAGAATTTGCTTAAAAATAGCATGAACACCATTGCATTATATTGCTGTAACACTTTCAGGAGGTAGAAGTTCTAACCAGAACAGAATATGCTCTTGTAATCTATCTTCACTCTTCCAACAACCCCAGGAAGAAAATCTGGCCAGGCTAGTATGTTGCCCTTTTGGAGATCCTCTGGACAGGAAGTAGCCAAGGACTTCACCTTATAGTTCAAAAGAAAGGGGAAAATTTTGTTTAATTAGCACCGTTAGGAATCAAATACAACAAAACATTCCTCCTGCAAGACATTTAAGTTCTACCACCTCTTGTCAGTTTTTAAGCAATTTAAATATAGTACATTGCAGTACCTTATCAATATTGATTAGCCTGTTCACTAGTCTGTTTTATGCCCTGGGTTTATGTGACTTGTATAGCCAAAACAAAACAGGCCCATATCCTTACTAACACAATAAAGGAGAATGCTTATTTTAAGAAACAGAATTAGCTTTACCTGTTCTGGGGAGAGAACATAACCCCAAATATTGAGCTGGCTGATTGAACCAACAAAAGACTCAGCTGGATTAAATCCTTCTCCTCTTTGGTCCTGTTCTTGACCAAGAACTAATGCTCCACCACCTATTCACAAAAGACAAACAGCGTGAGAAGATGCAACTGCAGCTGTTTAATGAAGAACTGAATGCATTGTGCTGCTATTCAGTTAGGAACCTCAGTCAATCAGGTAGACTGCTGAGAAGGTGGGGCAGGTCTATGAAGATGAAGAGGTGAAGCTACCCAGGTAGGTTTTCAAAAGACGTCCCCTGAATTATATAGGTTGAAATAAATGAACTGAAATACTGGAACATAGTATTTCAGGGGATATTCACCACTGTTTGGGAATGCAATTTCTTTCCCCAGCATGTGGGAGATCAGAAGAGACTGATGAGCCCAAATCACAGCAGTGCTTACATGGGAAGTAGCCATATTCCCACCTTTATACTTTACTAGAGTGGCGTGAGAGTAGGTCTCATGAAACAAAGGTAATTTATGAGCCAGACCTGAGGAAATCATCTGATTGGCACAATTTAGGAAAGGATGCAGTTGAAAAATGCTTGTACATAGCCGTTTTGATCTATGCCACTTCTGCTTGCAATCCCGCTTCTTTTCTTTAAAAGCAACAACAAAGTTCCCTGTGCCGCATTGAAGTCCCTCCGCCCCACAGGCCAGTCCTAGACCCATACAGGTATCAAGCAGTCCCCTTTCAATGTTGGCCTGAATTACAGTATGCCACAGTCCTGTGATCTTGACTGATCCAAGCTGCAAAGTAAGGGACTTTATGTGGCTTCATGGCTGGAGGCAAGGCCACTATACCTGGAGCAGGCAGAACTTGAGTAGACCAAGACAATCATCTGACGCGGTATAACACAGTTTCTTACATTCATCTGTACAGTAACTGGGTCTCTATTTTGGTTTTTACACAGTGCCTAGTTATTGTAGGCACTCCAGAAAACCAACCACCCATCCGAACAGTTGAACTGGGCACTAAGTCTGGAAAGCATATTAAGAAAATCTGGTGGCATAAAAATGAATGAATGGCATAACAACAAGAAAAGGAAAAATAATTGAATAAATGTGAAGGAAGTCATTACCAGGGATTTCGGAGCCTACAGATAAGCCGCTGCCTCCATCTGAGGACTTTCCATCAATATACACTCTCCAGGCCCCATTGATGCTTGTCCAGGTGACAGCAATGTGATGCCAGTTGCCATCATTCACAGAAGGGCAATCTGTAATGCTCTCCTTCCCATTCACATAAAGAACCCATCTACATGCAGGGAGAGAGGGGTCGGGTAGGAGAGAGTGATTAAGTCATATGTAAACGTTTGTAGTGGTTTGTGTAAACCTCTTGAAAGACATTGTTTATCTTCCATGCAGATGCAAGAGGCCTAACACAAAACAGCTCAGCACTGCTCCACAGCAGCGCCTGAACTGGCACACCCGCAAGAGTAGAAAAAGATCTCACTGCAAAGTAAGAATAAAGGCACTGACCAAAGTATTAGCCTGAATTTAAATCAGAAAGGCAAGAAGGCTGGAAGTTCCCAAATGTCATTGCTTTTTAAAAAAGCAATTCATAACCACATCTCTAAACTAGGATAAGTGCTAGCAAGATGGTAAGCCCCAGCACCACATCATAGTGTCTGACTAGCATGTTTTCTGACAATTTTGTGCCCTCCAGATAGTTTGGCCTTCATCCCCATCAGGTCCAGCTGGATGGCCAATAGTTGGGAATCCAGGGAGACATAGTTCAAAACATCTGGGGGGATACCAGACTGGGCAAGGTGCTCATGCGCTCATGCTCTCGCTCTCTCTCTCTCATTCTGTGTGTGTGTGTGTGTGTGTGTGTGTGTTTAAATACCCTGACTTTCTACAAAATATGGTAGTCCAGGCAGATAACCAAACCATTTAAAAGTATTAAAACAACAAAAACATCAAATTCCAATAAAAACAATGACTGCAGAATAAAAACTGCACCCATTCTACAAACCCTCTTGCGGGACAAATAATAAAACATCAGTTGTCTGCTGTTGGAAGGAGAGAAGAAAACCTAGCCTTCCTCGGGAGGGAGTTCTATGGCTCAGGATGGCAGCCAAAAAGGCCCTCTTTCATGTTGTCACCAAATATACCTTTGATGGTCTGGAAAGAAGGGCCTCTCTGGAAGGAGGATTCTTAACGATGGAAAGAATCTGTTCTTTCAGGCAGCCCAGCCTCCAGCTGTACAGGTCATAACCAGCAACTTGAATTCTGCCCAGAAACAGACTGATAATCAGTAAAGCTACATTCTCCCTGCAAGCAGCCCCAGATAACTGCTGCCTCACAGCCTTTTCGACCAGCTCAAGTTTCTGAATAGTTTTCAAAGGCAGCCCCAGATAGGGTGAACTACAGTAGTCCAAATGGAATTTAGCGTAGGCATGTATGACTGGCCAGATCAGACATCTCTGGGAACAGATGTCTTGCCTCATCTGTGCAAACGCTCGTCAGGCCATCACAAAGTTCTAGACATCCAGGCTCAGGGCTGAGGCCAAAAGTACACCCACATTAAGAGCCTGAGACTTCATGGGGAATGTAGCCCTGTGCAGGACTGGCTGAATTGCTAACGCTGATGTGCCTTCTGACCGAGATGACCATCTCTGTCATTAAACATGGATCTGTTTGCCTTCATCCAGTCTACTACTGACATCAGGGTCTGATTCAGAACCAGAACAGTTATTTGGATTTAGCTGGAAAGAGAGAGCCAAAGGTGCAGTGGTAGGCCTCACTACTCCAGAGACACTGCTCATGTCCTGGGGCTATGCAACGTGAAAAGTAGCCACTGTAACTGGGCAAAGTTACATCCACTGGACGTGTGTCAAATATAACATCCAAATCAGCTCAGATACAATTGATTTTATCTGCAAAGATTACCTCTGTGCCAGCACTTAATGGGTTTTTATTGTCCTCGAGTTAAAAAAAAGTATAGGTGCAAAAAGAAGTTGTGTGAATACTTCAGATAAAGGATCCTGAACACTAACATTTCCAAAAGCTGATTAATGTCATGCCTTAATGATGCATCTCTGTTTTGTTTCTTTATGGAAAAGTCCAACCACACAAGAATACATGCATTTTATAATAGAGAAGTCATTACTATATGGTTGATAACAACTTTTTTTAAAGATCCTAACTACCTGGATGAGGTTACAAAACACAATTCTACCCAAAGAAAATTATGCCCCCACGTGCCACTTCAGGAATACTGAAGACTATCTAGAAGTTAAGATAGTACTGCTGTTATTTCATATACCCGTTGTAATCTGTAAGCAGAAATGCATTGTCACTTCCATTTTCCACTGCATAAGAAATTGGAGTCCCGTAATTAGTAGCATCCGAAGATTTCATCCAGAATGCACATGTGATCTCAGTTAATGAGGGGAGGACACTGTCAAGCATAACATAGCCATAGATCCCAGAGACTTCAAAATCCAGATTGAATCCAGAAGACTGTTCTGCAACAAACAGGAAAAATGTTCAGTTCTGCAGTCTATGTTCTACTTTGCTTTGTTTCAAAATATGTTAGTCTTTAAACCAAATATAGAGAACTAGGAAGGCCATTGGCCTTTCACAGGCATCTACACGGACCACAGAGGCTGGCTGATCCTAAAACAGCACTGCTATCTGGCTCCAGTTCAAAGTTTCTATACTGAAGTATATTCCCTCAATGAAAGTACAATGAAATATCTAGAGATGCCTGCACATAAGAAATCTAGCCAGTTAACTCCATCAGTAGACAGACAACTTTTTTCTCCAGGGATATCATGGCACATCTGCATCCCTCACCTTTTATCTACAGTCTCACCATGGGATTAGAAACAAACTGTTTGCTGTTTCTCTTTATTATCTGCATTTTACATTTAGCAGCTGTACAGACCATGGGGAAAGCAATCCTATAGCCCATACATACTGTTTGGGGGCCATAGGATTCTTCAGATTCCCAGAACCAAGGTCAGAAACAGAGCTACAAAGGTTCATTTGCCAGTCAGGTACTGCAAAGATTAGTAGAGGGAAATGTAATAGTATGCAAATTACAAATGTGTAACAAAAAGAAATGTTCAGAGATATTTGAGTCACCTTTTCTCTTTCTCAAAGTATAGGTGTATTATCTTTGACTGCAAGCACAAAAGCTACTTGTCAGCTACAGCATGCCAGACAAGCCATGAATGGGGGAACTCCTTCCTAGATAACAAGTACTTGGAAGAAATCCCTACTGGAGCTCTTTGAAGTTGTAGAAAATGCAATTACAATGGAAAAAGAAAGAGTTCTAAATACCGTTTTTCACTATGCAAACAACGTATGTTCTTCAGGTCAGTGAATGAAATATTCAATTATTATGCTGCTGCTAATTGCAAAATCTGCTATATTCATGGAAAGCATCTGGTGTCAGTTCAAGCCTGCACAAATGTTGCCAAAAATACTTTGCTGATCATGACTTTTGCTAATACTTTGGTCCTGTGTACCTGTTTCACACCTGCTGCCTGTAAAGCCAGGGGGACATTTACAAATGTACGAGTTCAAGGCATCCACACAGGTTGCTTGGTTTGCACAGGGATTGGATTCACATTCATTGATGTTGACTTCACACTGAATCCCTGTGTATCCTGCAGCACAGTGACATCTGTGGACAAGAAACCAAAGGGCTTTTTAGTGCTGCAGCAATAACAATGAAATTGGTATTTTTACAATACAGTGTAGGATAATGAGGAACTAAAAACAACAAAAACGAGGAAGCAAACCAGGGCAAATAGGTACCACCCATTCATATGATCACATGACAAGCTGCAAAATACAAAACCAACAGTCAGTGTATAGGTCTAAACTACAAATGATGCTAAATTCTCTGTTTTCCAACCCTGAGTTGAAGAGTCTGCTCCCTGTGAGTCCATTCTGGATCACAGCTGCAACGTCCAGGCTTTGGGTCTAGTGGATCTGGATCGACTTTTTGGCGGCTACAGCAAAGGCCCTTCTGCAGTCTTCACAGCCTTTATTGGGAATGAAGGCCACTGCCCTTGATGCTGCTATATCAGCATGATACAGCTGGAGGAGCTGGCTAACCCTGGAGCAGGAGAATGATCCTTGATGTGAGGAACTGGGGCCACCAAATCTTGGTGTGAAGGGATGATGTCACATGCCAGGACTCGAGGGACTACTATTCTGGACCCAATCCAAAGGTTCGGTTCATCTTTTTGGATTTTCAGAGGATGTTTGGGCAATATATGCACTTACTTCAGGGCATTTTTGGAGCGGATTTGGGTGGCCATGTTTCTGCCCATTCCTTATATGCTTACCTACTAGGATCTACTATTGTATTAATTGTATTTAAAACACAAAATCTAAAAAGAAGTTCATAGATATGTATTATGTACTTTCATGATAACATTGCTATTCAGACATCGCTTGCTGGCTGGAGAGGGGGTTGTCCAACTGGTAAAGTTCTTAGAGTGTTCTTGACACAAACACTACCCTTTAACTTTTCTTTAATTCACACATGACTATCAATGTAGACTATGCATTCATTCAATAGTTCCACCCACCCACATTCATTGAACACAGTGGCACTGCAGTGTACATTATGGTCCATTCTTCTTCTTCTCATAGAAACGCTAATGTTATATCAATCTTCTTACCTGTAGCCATTGATACCATCTTTGCATGTGGCTCCATTTTTGCATGGTCTACTGAGACATTCATTAATGTTTTTTTCACACAAGACACCAATAAACCCAGTAGGGCACTTGCAAAGGAAACTACCAATCTGATCTTCGCAGGTAGCTTTGTTTAAACAGGGGTTTGAAAGACATTCATTGATCTCTGTTTCACAATGAGTACCTGATAGAAAAGCATAAACTGCATGAGAAAATAATCAAATTACAATAAAATCCATATGAAATTATCATCAGGCATTTTCTGGCCTTCCATATTAAAAAGAATACACAAGGTGAGTGCGGGAGGGATTCCCACCAAAATGCTCTTAGCTACTGAATCTTCCCGGTAACATGCTCCATGCAAGCATGAAGTCCATATATATGTGATGGATAGAAACCCCAGAGAACTAAAGAATTAAAAAAAAATCTTTTCAGAAATGAAAGAGAAAACAATAATTCATTCATTACAATTGATTAAAAAGGAAGAATACATTTAGCAATAATGTCTGACTACATTCCTTGTTTTCTTTAATTTTAATCTCTGTTGACGGGTAAGTGTACTGGATATGTGAAACCTATGTAATTTCTTATGTGATTTAATAAACACCCCTCCCCAACCGCGCCTTGCACTAATTATTCCTTTGGTATGATACACTTGGTAATATAGGAGATACAAGAATCAATTATGGTAGCATATTAATGTTTAAAATCTTTGCCAGCCTTTGCATTTTCATGTTATAAACTTCTTATGTGCTCCTTTATCATTATAAATAAGTCTTCAATGGTACACATTATATTTTCATGAAGGGTTATACAAGACTGTAAACATCTGAGGTAGAGATTCTCAGGAAAAAATGGCCTCGTCAGCATTAAATGGCATGCCACAAAGAAAGCCCAGAAGCAACAGTCAAGGGAAAAATGGCAACTGTTAATACAAATAAAGTGATTACTTACCTGTGAATCCTTCTGCACAGGTGCACTGGTAAGAATTGATACCATCCACACAAACTGCTTCATTCAGGCAGGGATTGGAACTGCACTCATTTATATCTTCTTCGCATCTTAAGCCTTCCAGCAATAGCGGTGGCAGGGTGTGTTTATACATGTAACATAATACATACATATTTACAAGCTCATAAACAGACTTACACATGGAAGAATCCTGAAAACACTTAAATGAACACACCAGGAACACAGTCATTAATAATTTTTAAACTTACTTATTAGTAACAAGCACTCATCTTTCATTCGCCCCCTTGCCACATATTATGTAGCTGTTTGTGCCTTTCCATCCATGGATTTTCAGGTTTCCAAGTGGCTCCTCTGGCCATTACTCAATGCTAGGTCTCCACAGCAGAGAATTCCCCAAGCTGAATGGTGCTGGCATCATGATCAAGTACAGCCAGGCACAGGAGAACCCCTTTCCTTCTGCAATGCCAAGCAAGCAGCAAACCATTTGAGCTCCCAATGAGCTACATTTGGCTTGGCTGGTCATATCTTATGCAGGGATGCTCTATGGCATGGAATAGCATGTTTTAGGCAATATCTTTAATGCAGGGGGACATAACCCCAGAGGGCTGCATGTGATGCAGGCTGGGGGATTCCCCCTCCCAAGCAATCCTGATAAATATTGCTCTTTCCTCACTGCCAGTGCAGAAATAATCATCTGTATATTGAGGGAGTGAGTGGACAGTACAGGTAGGGGTAATTTGGGGGAGAAAGAGTGGTTAGGGCACCCATGGGGAGTTCTCCTAAAGGCCTTAAGGGGCACAGGAGGCTGCAGCGATCTCTTTTACAGTGCTTTATAAGCAGCTGCTTTATAAAAAAAATAGAAAGACAATTTTTGAAGACTTTAACTTAATGTCCCAGTTCAGATGTAACACTAAAACATAGTTAAGCTCTATGGGAATGAATCTGGGTCAATCTTGGACCTGCAAGCTTCCCTCTCCTCTACTGTGGTCATGGAAAAAGAAAAAGCCTGGGTTGTTTCAATAAACTATAGTTCAACAATTATCTGCTGTTGTTGGACATAACATGAAACCATGATTAGTTTAAAACCAGAAGTGGACACTTCCAATTTCTTTTCTGCAGCTGTACCATAGGAGAGGGAAAAGGAAAGTAAGAAAGTAGGGAGTAAGAAACGAAGTACAGAAGCTCCAGTCTTGCATAGGCTTGGCTTTTGCAGAACAAAGCTAAACTGTGGCTAAATGTTAATCTGAACCATGTCAATGAGGAATAGGGCATTTGTACATACATGCAATGCACACCTTTTTTCTGAGTATGTGGAATTAGCAGTATAGTTCTTTGCATTCAACTATCAGAGGTAATCTATCTGTCCAACTCCCATACAGCCCTCAAATTCTGACCATGTACAGTTGACCAAATGGTGACATGATTCATTCCCTCTCACTCATACAGAAGAATTTCAATTGATTTTTCACTCTGACCCCAATTCAGGTTTCAGCCAGGTGTTCAGTTCACAGTTAAAAACCATGGCTTGTTAGTGCAGCTGGGATCACATATCACTGTAACCTTGAATTCAACAACCCATGGGTTAAATAAACCACGGGTTAAGATCATGTCTGAAGCAGGTCTTTCAGCTGCAAATGACCCTTCTCCAAGCTCCTGGCATGCAAACTGCCCTCACAAAAGTGCAGATATTCAGCAGGCTGGGGGGCCACAGAGACAACCATGTTTGGGCTGTAGCCTCTGACAGTTTATTTGCACTGCAATCACTTATGCAGGCAACATTGTATAATCAGAACTATACAAATGCATGTGGCCACATCACACTTCCTGCACACTGCTGGAATAAAAAAAAATATACTAAAGGTTCTCTCATCAGTTCACTGAAGAGTTTCAATCTCAGCAAGAGAGAAGCAGAGTCCATAGAAGGCAAGGGATTTTAAAGAGGAAGCAAAGATGACCCACACTTCTTTCTTAAAGTATGCAACCGGCCTAGTTCATGGTTTGTCACCTGAGTAGCCTGGCTGACACTGGCAAATGAATGTTGCAAGGCCATCCTTGCAAATCCCTTCGTTCAGACAGGGGGATGACTTGCACTCATCAATCTGCTGTTCACATTTTAAGCCTAGAATACAACCCAAAACAACACAAAAGAAAAATAAATAAAAGCCAAACAACCACTCAAACAAACATAAAATAAACATACTTTTTAGGAAAAGTTTAAGAGGGGCACATGAAAATGGGCTATGTGTAAACTACAGGACACCATGCAAGGGACATGCAGCTTGACTGCATACATGTCTATTCAGACGTGAGTTCACAGAGGGCTGTTCCATGGAAGGGTATATCATAGCAGTGGCAAACTTCAAGCATACAGGTTCTACTTCATTTTTTTAAAAAATTACAACCCTAAATCTACCAACAAGAACCAGGTACAAAATGCATACAGTTTGGATGCGCGAAATAGTTTTGAGCACTGAAGCTGCACAGCGCTCAGTTATTCCACCGACATACTTCATTTCAGCAATTTATTTGTGGAGGGAGGAAGCTGGGGAATTCATTTTATTGTTTCCATTGTTTAATACTTTGGAGTTAAATTTTTTTTGCCAATCTACTTCATATCACCAGAGATCTGCCAGAAAATCCTGAACTACCCTGTGCCCAATCCCAGCGTGTAGAGATGGAGCCTACGTCAGCGAACTATATGTCAGGAGTGGGTAACTTGTGGCCTTCGAGATGTTCTGGATTACGGTTCTCATCAGCTGTACATAGTGCAGCCAATGCTGAGGAATGATGCGACTTGGAGGCACAAGTTGCCCATCTCTGCTATACACACTTGGTGGGACACACACGGTCAGGCTGTACATCTTAATAGCAATGGGAAAAGTTCATCATGACTTAATTTCCAATTGCTTTCAGTGAGTTAATACACAAAATACTTGAGCTAAGAACCACCAGTGCTGATGAGGTAACGCAGACACAGAGCTCAAGCTGAAAATACTGCCTAAAACAGTATGTTTCTCACCTGTAACTAAAGGTATTTTAAACTGTATGCTCAGTATGCAGATGTCACTGAAAATGCTATGGTAAAATACAAAATAGACCTAATCCAATAGAAGAAAAGAGGAATATTGGCATAAAATAGAAATGCAAAATGCAGGGGATATGCAGCCTAGAGACTAATAGCAAGAACTCAGTGCCTCACATCCTCTGCTAGCATGGAGTCTCTTTCACTCATATAGCAATTTAATAAGTGAACCCGAATCCAACAAAATTCTTAAATTTTCACTAGCTTTCTCAAAATCTTTACTGGCCCACCAAAATTTATATGTTACAGTCCATCTCTTCCATATCTGCTATGCTTTTTGTTATGTAATTTTACATTCTTAAAATTATGGCACTGCACAGCAAAAACCTTTCTGCTAGCACCTGCAGTGTTGTTAATTAACAACACTCTTGTTAGCCTCTGAATCAAAGACAGTATGTCAATCATGGACAGATGTACTTTAAGGATCACCATTGACAATTTGAAATCTACTGAGCAAAAACTTCCTCAAGCTGCTAGTATTTCAAGCTGATTCTTTACCTTCAAATCCTTGTGGGCACATACAGATGTACCCACTTCCAAGTTGTTTGCAAGTTCCTCTGTTATGACATGGTTGCAGGAAACATTCGTGGAACACCTGTTGCCAATGGGATAACACAACTTATTAACAAACCTGCAACGAGGAGCAAGACTGCCGCAACTGCAAGCAATATGCTAGCACACCCTTCCCAACCATCCTCTAAGTGATGTTACAGATATGTCATTATTCCATATATCTGCACTGTTGAATCTGCCCTCAACATGGTCACAACAGCATTGACATGGTATTCTAACATCATATTCTGTAATCCCTTGCTAATGCAGCAATTCTTTATTTGGTGGTGCAAGAAATATTGAGTCTAGGTCATGCAAATTATTTAGATGGCATTTCTTATCTATCAATCTATCTATCTATCTATCTATCTATCTATCTATCTATCACATTTTTATACTGCCCAATATAGAAAGCTCTCTGGGTGGTTCACTACTTCAGTGCTTTCTGCAATCAGCTAGAATTGGAATTAGAACGGCTGTTTCAAACCGCACTAGAATGTCAACAATCAGCCCCTTAAAAACATCAGTTGGGCCCATGAATGTACTTTGAAAAAATTCCCTGGGTGCTGCAACTAATTGGCTCATCTGGGATGGGATGAAGAGGAAGAATCAGAAAAATATTCTTCTCCTTCTCCTTCCTCCTTATTTCTGTTTGTGCATGCTTGAATAGCTTTTCTCTTTTTACTCTCTCTTTTTCTGGCTCCTCTTATCTTTGGCTCTCTGCTCCCCATTCTCTCTCTTTCAAGTTGGTTCCTCTTTTTGTTTTCTTTCTTTTTTATCTTTCTGGTCCCTCTTGCATCCATTCTCTTTGGACATTCATATTCTCTCTCTCTCTCTCTCTCTCTCTCTCTCTCTCTCTCTCTCTCTCTCTGTCTAGACTCCCCCCACCACTGTGCAAATGAATCATTCCATTCACTTGCAGAGGGGAAGATTTGCTTGGTAGACACCTCAGGATGGGCACACAGATGTGATGGGCCTGGGGGTGCCGCATTGGAAACCTCTGCAGTAGTGCAGCATTTGTCCACACTGGTCAGACTTCAGCTGTGTCTTATTGGGTGGGAAATGCCACACAAAATAAATTTTTGAAAAAGCGTGAGGACAACACTGAAAGGACTGGAATCGAACCAACTGGAAAGGTGATTTTTTTGGTTTCACAGAAAATTATAATAAACACAATAATAAAAGGAACAAACATTTATCCAGAGATATACGTTCGTGCGGATGCAACAAGGAATTATTCAATAGTCACATCAGCTGCTTTCAAAATCTCTTGGCCTTAGGTTTGCAAAGCTCTGTCACAGAACATTGGTGGTGTTCCAATGTTGAAATATGTGTTGACTGCAAAAAAAACTGCAAGTGAGTTTTAATCTCACTGTTATTGTTAGCTGTCTTGAACACTATTTTTGGCAGAAAGATGGGACAGAAGTCAAATAAATAAACTAACCTCAAGGATGTGAATAACTATGATTTAGTTGCATAAGAATATACATTCATATCTTTCATGACTTGCATGACTTCATCTGATTTCAATTTTGGTTTAACTCTGCCATTTTGCATTGTCTGAAATCTGTCTCATATGTTCATCTTGCTTGGACAGAGCTATACTGTTTACCTGAGGTTTCATAAGCAAGCTGTACTTAATGACAGCAAGGGAGAAAGATTCTGAGGCTCATGAGGGAGAAGATGCAGAAGAAAGTAACACCAAGAATAAAGTGTTGAAAAGCAAAACTAAGTTTGCAATAAGCGTTGAAAAGGTCTCAAAATGAAAGGCATTTTTGACACTCATGGTTTGGCTGAGCCCTACAACAGTAAATTGTGTGCCCGAAGTCTAGACAGCAAGTGTGTTGTAGTGTTTAGAGCTTTGGCCTAAGATTGAGGAGACACATCCTCAAATTCCCAATTAGCCATGGAGATTAGCCATGAAGATTACTGAGTTACCTTTGGGCCAGTCAGTGTCTACATTTGCAGCATTGTTGTGAGGATAGAGGTGTGCATGAATCATGAACACTGCCTCAAGTTCCTTGGAGGAAAGATGGGATGTAAATTAAATAGAAGGAGGGGAGGAGGTAATGGAAGCAGGAGGAAAAGAGAAGGAGGAGGAGTAGATTAACATTGCAGGAGATGTTTTTACTTTTAATACTAATGCCGACTTTAGAAGTTTATGATGTTTGTTCTTGCCTGGCTGCTGACTTTGTGGTTCTTGCTGATATTTTCTGGAGCAACTGGCATCACTACACTGTCCTCTGCTGCAGCGAAAGTAGAGCCAAAACCTAAATGGGAAAGACATGAAAGCAACTATAAAAATTCTACTGACAAGATCCCTTGAGTCAAGGTCATGACATAGCCAATGATGCGGCAATAGAAAAAGCATCTAACCTGGCATGCTGGGATACTAATAGAGGTGTTCAATCTACAACCAATGACATACTCAATTAAAACATGAGTTCCCACAGCAACAGAAAAATTACTCTGCCTCAACTGGGCTCACATCTCTGTTGTCTTTGAGCTGAATATTAGATACAAAGTAATTAGGAGCTACCACATTATTAAGGCCAATCTGGGTGTAAACATATGTGTGTTTAAATTAGGATATGCCTCATGTGTATTTGCGTATAATAAAACCAGTGTGGTATGGTGGAGTGTTGGACTAAAACATGAGAGATCTGGGTTCTAGTCCCCATCTGGCCATGCAGCTCATTGGAGGACTTTGGGCCAGTCACTTACTCTTAGCATAACTACCTCATAGGATTGTTGTGATGATAAAATGAAGTGGAAGAGCATTTTAGATCCCGGAGAAGTTTGTCAATGCAAACACAATTAAAAGAAATTAATCTTGCACTGCGAGAGAGCTTTTGCAATGTCTGCAGAAGAAGCAGCAATGATGGAGCTAAGGCTTCTTAACTGCTTCAATGAACTACTTTCATCCAGGGTACCGAAGAAAAATAGAGCTCTGCAGGAGCTCAGAGAATTCAGTCTGCCTGATGAGATTGCTTGTATGGTCCAAAAGCAGTATCCTAAAATCTGTCTTTATACTCAGGTTTTATACATGTGCTGAATTAATCATGTGTTGAATAAAGTTCTAGAAATGCCTTTGGTCCCAGCTGATTGAAAATATGGGGTTGGGTCCAACAGTGTTATTCAGGCAGCAAAAGGAAAACAACTTGCAGAATGGATTTCCCCTTTCTCTCTGCAGACCCCTTCCCACACCCCCCATCTGTTCTGGGTTAAGGTTAGGGCTTAAGAAGATATTTAAGAGGGTGCTCAGGAGTTGCAGGGGCAAACAGAGTACAGAATAGTTCTATTATGCAAGCAGATGACCATTCACGCTACTGTTGGACCCAGTGCATGAGCTATATGCAGAGTAGGGGAATGGAAGGAGGGCTAAATATGTGAAAGGAAATGTATCTTTATTAGCAGCCTATGACCCAAGCACCTCAGTATTTTGCCCTTTGGAGGGTAGGGTCAGTTTCCCATCTATCAGCTCGGTAAAGACTAGGAGAAGAATCATCTGAGACACAGGACGCTGCAGGTTGATTCCAGTTGACTGTAACCATCCCTCTGAAAGATGCTGCTGCTAGTCCATCTGGTCATGGCACGATGAAGAGGCCCTTTGGTGTTCATTGTTGCCCCACTCCTTTTATTCTTGACTGGTGTGAAAGGAGGCACAAGACCTGGGCAGCTGGTTCCTCCTTATCCACCATGCCCCCTTCTCCTGTGGGGACAGTCCAGCTACTCCTTAAACATACGTTAAGAAGACTGTGTGGAGAAAGAGGCCATCCTTCCTACTGGATAGCTATCTTTTCTATTTGGATTGCCATTTTTTCACATCTGTTAGAGAAAATAACTTACTTGAGCAGTCTGTTATGGATCTGGCACCAGTCATGGTGGTAGTTCCATAAAATGGACAAGAGAGGCAGTAGGACTTTCCTGGATCAGGCTGATAATAGTCCCTGGGGCAGGGATGACAAGGCATTAAACCAGAACGAGAGAATTCTCCAGCTGGACAAGGGACTGCAAAGTGCAAAAAACACCCCTTTTAATGCTTGACTATACCATCTTCCCCAACAGCTTTTATATAAATACTAGAGACTCTTCTGATTAAGGCTACTGTTTAGATGACCTGGGAAAAAGGACAAGATTGAGGATTCAGGACCAAACTATACATCTAGCCCTTTTAAAACTTTTAGCAAAGACTCACATTACTAGGTCTTCACCAAATATCTAGTTTGATCCTCAAATGAACATTTACATCCTCAGTCCCACACATGTTTACTTAGAAGTAACTCTCCCTGAGCTCAATCAGACATACGGCTGGGTAATCAAAATGCATGCAGGGTTGAGAGAAACATGGCAAAAAGGCAATATAAATGAGATACTAATTTCTCACCAAGTTTCTGTAATGTAAAAAGTGAATGAATAACAGCACTAATAATATACAACGACATGTTGTTTGACCAATGATAACTGCTAGAACTCACTAGGAAATATTGGCCAAAAGAAAAGAAAAAAAAAGAACACTTTGGATTTTACACACTTCTTGGGAGTTTTCAGGTGATTTATGTTTCCAATCCTGTCTTTTCCTCCCCCCACCCTGAAATTTACAGGCTTGATAATCAAGGTAGTAAGAAAGACATGATGTATGCTACTTCTCCAAAATATTCCAGTTATGCAGGGATCAGAAAAATGAGGCTATACTTCACAGTATTTAGCAACAAGCTCTTTCCTGGAATTTAGATGTCACAAACCTCCACATGCTGATATGTCTACAGCTCCTCGCTTGACTGTTGACATGTTTTCTGGGCAAGAAATGCAGTTCTTAGATCCAGTTGTAGGCTGATATTTGCCAAGAGGACATGATTCACAGATCTCAAGGCCATTTGGAGAATAGGTTCCCGGCTTGCACTGAGCTAATTATATAACAACAGTACATCAGAATTGAGCAATCCATAACTTCAAAAATGAATCAAGGCCAACAGCAAATAATACACTAATCCAATGGCAGAATAACCCCTGAACCAAAGTGTTACCAGCTATTGATAATCCCAGGGGATATGAGTATTGCAACAGCTTGCAAAATCCAAAGAGTACAGAGCATCTGCCACCAGTAAGAACGTGTTTACAGTGAAAGCTGAATATTTTGTTTAAAATGGATCATCTGAACAATGTATTGTACCACAAAATAACATGAAAGTTCCAAACTAAAGCATCTCATTTGACAATTATTTCTGTACAATAATAGGCATTTCTGATTCCATCAAAAAGGTAGATCACCTTGGATAAAGAGTTTAAGGAAAAAACAAAGCTTTTTCACTACTTAAGCTTCTTTAAAGTTCAAGTTGTAGATATTTTAATCTGCTGCTAATTTAATCTGACAATTTTGTGTCCTCTTATGCTGGTTTTATTACTTTAACTGTTCCGAAGTACCCTGGAAACCATTTATTGGAAGGCCAACATATATACCTCAAGAAGCATACAAGGCAGAGCAATTTCATGTCAAAGATCCTATGCTCCACTGGTAGGTGCCAGGCAGGTGGAGTGACAGAGCAATCTTCACCTCTCCCTTTCTGCAGTGTGGCGTTATAGGATGAAGGCAGTGACAGGAGCTGCAAGGCTTTCACTTTGAATGGATTCTCAGGGCTTCGCTTCCTGGCTCCTTTCCTCCTCATCTGCATCCTTAGTTAAGTTTGGTGCTCTCCCCTTGGGGGAGGAAGTCACTGCAGTGCTGTGAGTGGTGGGGATGGGGAATCTCCATTCAAATTTCCCCTGCTAAGTGTGATGCTCCCACTGGAGGAATCTTTCTCTGAAGAGGACCCAGAGCTCCCAGAAACAGACAATGCCAAGGTGGCATCCATGTCAGGACATCTGGGGAGGCCTAAGACCTTGGGGAGCACCCTGGTCAGTCCCCACAGGAGGAGGGGAGTTCTGCCTCCAAGGCAGAATCTGGATGGCTGGCCAGCATCTGTGAATGCCATCTTCACAAGAGGCAGGCAAGTGGGGTTCCTGCAAGAAGTGCTGGGTCACGAAGGAGGACTCTTCAGGACCAAGGCCCTCCTCTTGGACTTTTTTTTTCCAGAGAGCTTGTAATGCAGTGAGTCAAGCTCAGAAAGTTCTGACTATACCAGCCTTCAGTTTCGGCCCAGCTAGCGCCTAGTTTTCTGGACTTTGCCTTGTGACTGATCCTCTCTGCTATGGACCCATGGACTTGTTTTATTCTGCTTTTGCACTATGACTGGTATCTGATTGCCTAACTATGCCTTGATTCTTGCTTGTATCTTGACCACTCCTGCCTTGGTCTGACTCATACAGGACCCTCCCTGTGCTTGACTATTAGCATGATTTGTTGCTTTGCATTTTGGATGGCCCCTTGATTTGCTCTAAAGCAGCGTCTAATTCAGCCATAGCAGGACAAGGCACTACTTCCACTCTTACAGAAGAATCCTGGGAGGAATTCCTCTCTAACACAGAAATCTAGGCAAAAAGATTGTCTTTTCCATATTATCCTTGATAATCCTTCTGCAACGTTTTATGGAGTACAGCAAAAGAACTGTTTTGTTGTGAGCTGCCCTGAGGCTTTGTTGCGATGGGGGCGGCATAGAAATGTTTTAAATAAAATAATAAATAAATAATAATAAACTGTGTTTTTGTTTTGTGTAGTATTTTGCTCATTACAAATTTCTTTTTCAAAAACATTATTTTTAAAAATACAAACATTTAGAAATGCAGTTTGAAAAACTTATACATAGTTGATTATAAATATTATTACACGACTGCTAACCTCTCACCTTTACATTCTGATACACTTCTGGAATGGAGATATTCAGTGTAGGTAGCAGATGGGCAATTCTTACATTCTAACTGCCCTTCCTCATCCTGGTAAGATCCAATCCAGCAACTTTCACATGCATGATGCTCCAGAGAGTAATATGTGCCCAAAGGACAGTTAACTGTGATTTAATCAGATGAAATATGACATTAAAAGGCTAGGCACGGAACACATACTTAATACCTTGTATACACTAATTGCTTACAATGCCCTAGTTGTCACCTACTATTTCAGAAGGAAATGCTTTTCCATGCAAAAAATCCTCTTACATGTAGAAAAATTGGGCTAGTTGAAACTAAGGAGGAACCAATCAATTTCAAGATGTACCAAAATATAGGGAATGGGTGTGATCCAACCAATATGAAATAAGGTGTCGCCATCATGCAGATGACACCTATCGCTATCTTTCCTTTTCATCAAAGCCAGGTGAGGGAGTATTATTCTGAACCCAGTAGCAGGGTACTGGATTGGGCTGCATGAGCAGCAGTAGCCTGAGACTCAATCCAGACAGATGGAGGTACTTTTAATGGGTAGTTAATCTGAGTAACTGATGTTCAGCGTGTTCTAAATGGCACCACACTCCCGCTAAATGACTGGGTTCATACTCTGGGGACACTCTTGAATCCAGCACTGTCACTAGAGATACAGGTGGAGTTAATGGCACAAAGCACTTTTCTTCAGTTTTTGAAGCAGCTTTCTTTAGCACCTTTCTTCACTTATTATATACTGTATTTTTCCATGTATAAGAGGCTACTTTTTCTTAAAAACATTTACTTAAAAATGAAAGTGTGTCTTATACACAGGGGGCCGCAGGCGTGCTGGGGGGGGGAGACTGGTGCGCATGGGGGGGCGATAAGTACAGGCAAGGGGGCAGCATGTGGGGCGGGCGGCGCGTGGGAACAGCAAAGCAGTGCACGGGGGGGCAGCAAAGCAGTGCGCACGCGGCAACAGCTTGTTCGCTGGAGATGGGTAGGAAAAGTGGGGGCGTCTTATAGATGGAAAAATACGGTACTTATCTGGAAAGAGTTAGCTTAGTTACAGTTAACCAAAGTTCTTGCTTGGATTACTACAATGTGGGGCTGCAGTTGAAAATGGTCTGGAAACTGTCGAAAATGGTCCAAAACAGGGCAGAGAAATTGTGAAACAGAACTGGCTTTACATGAACATGTAGTTCTCCAATCTGCAATCGCTACTAGTCCATTTCCAGGCCCAATTAAAAGTTCTACTATTAACGTTCAGTGCCCTAAACTGTTTGAGGCCAGGGAACCCAAAGGATCATTTCCACCTGTAAATATTTGCCCAGACCCCAAATTATTTTCAGCAGTTCTTCTCTGAGAGTCCCTGCCAAAGGAAGTGAGGTGTGTAGCCAGTAAGACGAGGGCCTTTTCTGCTGTGGCACCCTAGTTGTGGAAAGAGCTCTGCAGAGAGGCTCACCTGGTGCTTAAGTTGTGCTCTTTCCACTGCTGCATGAAGACCTTTTTATTGGCCCAGGCATTTTGTCTTTCACTTTCTGGTATAGTGCTTTAAATCTTTGCACTGTGTGGTTATTTTTTATTTTATACCTTAGCTTTAATTGGTATATTTATATTGCATTTCACCATGCTGTATTTTATGGTTTTAATAGTTGTGAACCACCCAGTTAGTTTTGATTACTGGCTGTAATAAATCACAAAAGTAAATAATTCCTTCCATCAATGGAAGGTTTCCGTCTACAGAATGGGGAGGGAATTTCCAGTGTTTTCCCCTATTGCCTGCAGCTCCCCATTCTTCCAGAGAGCAGGGAAGATTGCTAGAGCAGGTACTGGGGTACACGAGGGGGGCACAAGAAACTCACTGGAATCAGCCCCCTTCCTATTCCACTGTGTTCTATCAATGAAGGGAAACTACATAGATTCCACCCAATAATTCTCTGAAACCCCCAAAAAAGCACAGAAAAATTGGTATTAGGAAAATACCATAAAAATAAATGCTACCATCTACGTACAGCATAGCAGCAGCCAAATATGCAGATACACCTGAATCCATGTAAAGAAACTGAATCACCAACTTAAGAGATAATTTGCCTGTTCTAGATTTTCCATTCTGAAACAAAAAGAATTGACTAAATGGTTCTAAGATTCTATGACACAGTCTCAATATCTCCTTTAAACTGGTAATGGGGGGAGTTCACAAGATAAAATAATATTTTATAGTAATTGATTTCACTGAAGGATTTCACACTGAATTTTGCTTACCACACATCCGGCCCCTTAGGATAGAGCCTGGCCTGCAAAACAGGAAGGCTTTTTCAGCTTCCAGGGAGTTGGTGTCAGCTACAAGCAATTCGGAAGAAAACTGAAAAGAGTACATGGGGTCCTTATTGAGGGTCCTCTTCAGCCTGTTTGTGATGGTCTCCAGTGTTTTTAGAAGACGCACCTGGTTTTCTGCTTCCAGTGTATCGTTCCGTTCATCAGGCAATGGTACACTAGCTGGGATTAGGATAACAAATAAATCTCACACTTACACACAAAAACTTTTCCGATTCACCAGCACTATATACTGTGAGAGCAGAAAGCACGAGAGTGCAAAAGACCAGTGATACTCAAGTTATCTGACATCACTTTGCATATAGCAGCAGCAAGACATGCTGTTTAACATGCACTTAACGCCCCCCCCCCCATTTTAAAATCAGGCACTGAATATTATTCTTGATAAATAATGCTTTTTCACAAATGAAAAAAGGAGGTTTTTACTTACCGGTGATATTAAAAACTAGCTTTATTTTGTGGTCAGTCATTGGCACATTCATTTTTTTGTGTCTTTTGATCCGGGTGTGTGCCATGGAGCCCAACAGTGGTTTAGGTTGTTCCATTTCAGGAACTGCTTCAAGGAAATCATCGTAAGAATAATCTAGCCGATTTGCAGCACCCCAACCACCAGGACCTGCCAGTTGTCAGAAAAAGGAGAACATTTTGCAATAAAATGAGCAAACAGCTGTCGAGTGTCAACTGTATCCACTATTTTTAAACTCTTAAACAATAAAAGGAAATGCCAAGCATAATGTCCTGACCTGAGCTCACCCTTTCCTGGATTACATCTGTATAACAAGTACAAAAAATTGCTATCTTAATCCTGATGTTCAGCAGAATTAAGTTTAAATGTTTAACTCATTTCAGGCAAATCGATACAACAGAGCCCAACACTTGGTGTTTTTTTTTTTAAGGAGAAGCAGCTTTGGGAAGGAAGGGATTTGGAGTGGAACAAGAGCAGCAGGAAGGGGGATTTAAGCTTTCCTTGGCCTTCTATTTTTCCATTGCACAGAATCCCTACAACCACCACTTTTCTTTCTCCATGGTTCTAAACGTGTGCTGTCCCAGATCAAATGTCTGACTCCGCACCATGTTCAGGACTGAGACAGAAGCAAGTTGAAAGTGCCCATCCTATATTAGCCACTGAAAAGGTCTAGAGCTGCTGAGCAACTTACCAATTGCAAAGCCATTTTCATAGTCATAATTATATTCTAAGCAATGTTTCTGTGGAAAATCCTCAAGTCTACAGTCAATGTCATCAACATCATTGCAAAATGATGGAACCTGCAAACCATAAAGACGTATTAAATGCACGGAATTCACAATGCAAACACACATTTCTTTAGATAGCTATGCAAGGCTTTAACATCACTGACTAATTTAGATTTTCTGTTCCAATTCAGAAACAGGTATGTTCCATTAACCAGTAGGCTTTATACATTGAATGTTAGTAAACAGGTCTGATTTCAACATCTAAACACACGATTTAAGTAGTATGAAGTATTAGTAAGAGTTAAACAAGAGCCTGTATTTGAATTATAAACCGAAAATTTACTTCTGAAATGAGACTGCTTTTCCGCTGTATATATTATGTCCAACAATTCGAGGAAAGGCAATTCATTCAATAAATGATGACATTAAAACAATGCATTACTAACCCACCATTTTACCAAGTGCACTCTGAAAAGCCTCCACAAAATTTTTAAGAAGGTTGCTGTCATCACATCGTGTTGCTTTGTACAGCATCTCAAAGGATTTGAAACCATGATTTGCCAAACGATTCACTGAAAAATGTTGGGGAAAGATTACAATATAGTTGCTGTAGACAAGTCCGTTAGACTCTGTGCTTGTACTAAAGCATGTTAGATATGTTACATTAAAACTTCCTCGTGCCATTTGCAAAAGCAAGACCTTAAGAAGCTAGGGATCACTACTCTTACGCCAAAATGTGTCAGACTATTCCCAGTCACGTGTGGTCAATAATTAGTTATCCCAAAAGCACAGAATATAAACTATTTAATGTGAGGGAGAATGGAATCCTAATCCCACTTTCAGAAAGAAAGGGTATTTTTTTAAACTAACTGAAATGAAGAGGGCTATATTCCAAATACATGTGTTGCAAATCAGGATCCATATTTCAAACAATTAAGAAGAAAAGAATTTTGCTGACATTCCACTATTTACTTAATAGTGAGGGATTCAATCCCGTCCTTCCCTTGGGAATGTCACTGGAGAGGTCAGAAGGAAGGGAAAAGATGAATAATGCTGCTCAGGGACTTGAGCATCTTCGAAGTCTCTTAAATCACACAGAACCATTTTATTTATTCACACACATAATTCTAACAATTATGCCATGTCTAGCATTCAGCTCCTAGCTATGTTTACTTGAAGCCAAATGTATTGGTTTCATTAGGACTAGGCAGTTCAGGATCTGGAATGAAAACCATGTTTCTTTTAAGAATGCAGGAGAATAGACACGCATTCAAATAAGATCTGAGATGTCCCAAATATTTGGATAACCAAAAATTCAGATTCAGAAATGTGTGGGTTACACAGTACCAGAGCAAACGTACAACTATCAGAGTTCAGGAGTAGGTGTATGTCAGGGCTGAATCCTTAAACTCCAGAAATTTTGACCCCATTGGTGCTCTGTAGCAACTACAGGACACCAAAATAGACAAACTGGCTTCCAGCAGGTTAATTTGGACTCTTATGGTGCTCTTCCATTTTAATTTGTTGTTGTTACTATTATTTTCAGCACCACAGGAAAAGTAGATGTGGCAGCAAGGAGAAATTTGGCTTGCAGCAGAGCCTGAGGAGTTAAAAGGGCCACTGGACCTTCTGAAACTTCCCCTTCCTGATTAAGGAGACTATGAAGAAAAAAGGCAGGGAAACTACACAGCAGGGGTAGGAAAACATTTCAAGTAGAGGGTAGTGGGTATTAGTGGGTAGAAAAACCTGAAGGGCAGCTATGGTGGGTGAGTGATCTGGTAGATATTGTTCGCTTGGACTTTAAAAAGGCGTTTGACAAAGTCCTTCACTAAGGACTGCTGGACAAACATTAGCAGGCATGGGATAAGAGGAGAGGTCATCTTAGGGATCAGGAACTGGCTAAAGGCTCAAAACAGAGTATAGAAAGATATGCACAATTCTTGTAATGGAGGAATGTACACAGTGGAGTCTCTCAAGCAATCTGTACTGAGGCTATTACTTTTTAATGTGCTCAGAAATTATCTGGAGTCAGAGATCAGCAGTGAGGTAGCCAAGATTGCAACAGCACCACATTATTTAGAATAAATAAAAGAAAAACGTGACTGTAAGCAGTTCTAGAACAAGGTCTCTAAACTGAAATAATAGGGAATAAATGGGTAAAAGTGGTTCAGCATAAGAAACAGTAAAGTGATGCACACTGAAGCAAAAAAGCCTAATTTCACATAGATGCTGATCAAGTATCAGCTGGCCATGACCAACCACCTTTGGGTTCTGGTGCATGGCTCAATGGAAACATTAACCCAGTGTGCAGCTGCTATGAAAAACTGAAATGTCATATTTGGGATTAGCAGGAAAAGAACAGGAAACAAAACTGCCAATATCCTAGCACCTTTATATGACTCTAGAGATGTGGCCGTATTTAGAATACCATTCTGTTCTGGCCATCAAACCTCAAAATAACATTGCAGAACTGGAAAAAGCTCTTAGAAGGGCAACCAAAATGATAAGTGAGCTATAGCAATTCCAATATATGGAAAAGTCACAACTTTAGGGACTTTTTATTTCAAAAAAAAGTGAAATGGCAGGATATGATAGAGGTGTATATACTTATACATGAAGAGGAAGTGGATTGGAAGGGGTTTTTTCTTCTTTTTCCCTCTCATAATAATAGAACCTGAGATCATCCAGTGAAACTAAATGGTGGGGCAGATAAAAGAAAATAATTCTTTGTGTAAAGCCCAGTCATGCCTGACTCTAGGGGGTGGTGCTCATCTCCATTTCCTAGCTGAGAGAGCCAGCGTTTGTCTGCAGTCTCTGTGGTCATGTGGCCGGCATGACTAAACACCGAGGTGCACGGAATGCAGTAAGCCTCCCACCAAAGTGGCACCTTTTCATCTACTTGCATTTGCATGCTTTCGAACTGCAAGGTTGGCAGGAGCTGCGACGGAGCACGGGAGCTCACCCCGACTATGGATTCGAACTGTCGACCTTTCGATCAACCAGCCCAGCAGCTCAGCAGTTTAAACCACTGCGCCACCTGCAGTCCCCACAATACTACAGTGGTACTTCGGCTCACAAATGCCTCAATTCACAACCAAATTTGGTCGTGAATAAAAGTTTCATTAAAATTTTGACTTAGGTTGCAAACTCTGCATTGGGTTGTGACCACTATTGCAGCCATCTCCCCACGCCCCCAAGTGGGGAGATGGCCGCAATCATGCTGAGGGTGGAGGGGAGGAGATGGCCGAGATCGCACCTGTCTTTCCTACATGAGCGCAACTGCAATCTCGGCCATCTCGCCCCCCCAGCACCATTGTGTCCGTCTCCCCCCGAGCGCCCCTGCATTCACGCCCGTCTCTCTCCCCTGTAGCACGCCAGGATGACGGGCGCATGAAGGGATGACAGGTGCAATCATGGTTGTGCTGGGGTGAGGTGAGGAGATGGCCGCACTCTTGCTCAGGTTGGAGGGGAAGATGGCTGCGATCTTTGCTGTTCTTTGTCACTTTCCTTCATATTTTTCTGATTAAAAAAATAGTTACAGAATGGATTAACCTTATTTACATTTAACCTTATGGGGAAATTAAACTTGGCTCATGACCAATTTGGGTCACGACCAGAGTCCTGGAAAGAATTAAGTTCGTTAGCCAAGGTACCAGTTTACTTCTTTGTGTAGTACATAGTTAAACTATGAAATTCACTTCCTGAAAAGGTAATGATGGCCACCAACTTAAACAGCTGTAAAACAGTATTAAACAAATTCACAGTGGATATTTCCAAATGACTACGAGACACAATGGCTATATGTTGCTGCTAGTATCAGAAGCAGCATGTCTCTGAATACTACTTTTTAGGGAATATGAGCAGAAAGAAACTGTTGTGCTCATATCCAGCTTGTGGACTTCATATGGGCATGTGACTGATCACTAAGGAAACACAATACTGGATTAGATGAACCTTTGGCCCAATCCACTAGGACTCTGCTTATATATTTATCACCCCACCTGCAAACACCCATATACACAACCTTTCCTTCCTAAAAGGAGATTATATAAAGTACCTTGAGCTCCTTGAAAGGAAAAAGCATGGGATATAAATACAACAAACTTTTAAAATCTGCCAAATTGGGCAATATAACCCTAGAGCCATACTGACAACATGATATTAAACAGTGTAAAGTGTACTTCTCTTGTCTGAATCTCTGATTTAATGGGCAACTGCAATTCAAATGGCCACTGATTGACTTGCTTTGTCCCCATGAACCAAAACTATTACTGGAGTAGCAATTCCCAATTCCTATTTTCCTCAGTAGACAAGGAAGATATTAGATGCCTGAAAAACAAAATAAATAATAAACCTTACAAGCACAGTCAGGCCACTCAGCAGAGTAGGGAGGATTCCAAATGCCATCTGCATAGGCACAGTAATAGTTTTCATTGGAACCTGCTGTGATGTCATATCCATCCATGCAATACAATGTGCAATTAACTCCTGTCTCATCTTCTGTGCATTTAAAATGCCCATTCACGGGGCTAAAGGGAATTTCACAGGGTGAGCCTGAAAAATAAAAATGTTAGAGTAGGACGTGTTTGCTTCCTCTTGAATGTGACATGCAAATCTCTCTTAATGTATATATCATTCATTCCATTCCTTGATTGTTTTGTGGGTTGGCTGTATCCTGTATTTCACCTGTCATGAACTCTAGCTTGATCAGGAGACTTTCTACAATTAATTCAACAATTGGGACACCTGCAGTTTCCCACAGCTTTCAATTCCTTCAGTTAATTTGCAGCTTCTTTCCCCTTTTCTCTCTCTCTATATATTAAATTTATAAACCGCTCCAATAGTCCTATATTATCAATTTGTTCATTCCCATTGGCAAAAAAGGAAACTTGATATGAATACGCACAGACACACAAACATATATGATTGCATAAGAAATCTCTTTTTATTACTGTGCACATCAGTAAACAGACCTGTACACAAAAAAGTTTTTGATACAACTATGCATAAAATCTCAACTGCTTTGTTACCTATAGGTCATGTGCTTTTCTATGCATGAAGAAAAGACAGGAAGAAACTGGAAGCTCTGTGATAAATTGCATACCTGTAGTACTGTACAAAATTCAAGGGATGGTGATGGGTCAGCAATAACACAACAAAGGAGGATTTTTAATGAATTGGATTCTTGTTAGAAACAACTCCGGAGAACTTGGAATTCAAAAATCTGAATGCAAATGAGAATTCTGAAAGCACCCCGAAACTCTGCAAGTCATTCTAAATAGAAGCACAATTAAAACAAACCTCTGATGACAATGTGGAGCTCACAGGTCCTGTTATTTCCAGATGAGTCTGTTGCAGTATACTGAACCACTGTCTCCCCTTTGCGAAAGAGATCTCCAGGTGAGTGGCTTTTAGTTATTGTTAAAGCCATTCCTAGAATTGTCATAGGAAAAAAAGGTGTTCAATGCATTCCAAACCTTGAGCACTTCCAATCTAAAAGTCCGAATTCAAAATCACTGTCTGGCCTTCAGATCCCTGAAGCTGCAATCAGAAACCATACATTCTATATTCACTCAAATCTCAATGCAATCTATGGCACATTCCAATACATTTCTGGAGAGATTATGTTATGCATCTCAGCCTTAATATGATCATTACACAATCCTCCCATATATTTCCTCACAAGGATGATGTGGTAGATGAAATGACTTGTCCTACTCTCTCAACAGCAAGTTTAAAATCACACTCCACTCTTTTGTGTGATTTGAGTAGAACCAATTTGTCTCATCATTTATATAGTACCATCAACATGCAAGATACTTCATAGAATTAAGTAACTTATTTACTTTTTAATAAAAACATATAAACTAACATGATTAAAAGACTCATGAGAAATTATATTATACATTTTATTGTCCCACTTTGGGAACATCTTTCAATCTATTCTTAAGATTAACTAATATTCAGCTATAATGTCCTGAAATTTCTGTTCTAGAGATAACAGTTAAACCAAGGGTTTATTCCACATCAATCATTTCATAATAAAAGTTATATCCTGAGAACTTATATTTCTTAATGCTTACCATTACAGTGTTTTCTACAGTGATGTGCTTTAAGTGCAATGTAATCCCCAAAATTATTTATTGGGACATTTCCACTCTTTGTCTGTATGGCACTTTTCCTCAAAGGCAAAGTCACTCACCTGAGTTATCTGAAAACTGTGGCTCCTCCCATGTTACTCTGTACTCCTTCTCAGTTGTCTGAATTTGTGGTGGGGATCTGCATTTATCGATTACTGGAGGTTCGATGTCTAAGTAATTTGGAGGCGCAGAAAGAAATTTGGTTGTGAGGCAGCAGGAAGGAAAATAGCACAAGAACACTGACAAACTCTTGAGATGCCATGCATGTTTAAAATTATTGTTCCCTGAGGACCTGAAATTCATTACAACAGGAAATATAAATCATTTAACATCAATAAATGTCGCATGGGTAGTTGTACGTTGCATTTAAGGCTGCAATACAAATATTCAAAGAACTGGCACTGCAACTTCCTGTTAAGGAGACATTTATCTGTCCTCCACTAGCGCTCAGCTGCCAGACATTGTACAGAGCACAGCTGAAGATCTTAAGCATATGTGCACTGGCAAGAAAAACCATGGAGCTAAGCAGGCTGGAAGTCCACTGATGCTGGCTTTCACATCAGACATATGTATTCAAAAAGGCTATTCACCTGATAAAAATCAGAAGGCTGTTTTAATAGTGTGGAACTGCTGGCTTTTTCTACAGAAGTATAAGCAGTTGGAACATTCCTGTATGGAAGAAGGGCTCAACATAGCAATGAAACCACATCCTCACTGACAGAGCAATCGCACAAGGCGCCATCCACACACTCCTGCAAACCAAGTTACAAACTATCCCCCATTTTAGGCCAAGAAGGATTAAAATGCAGGAGGGAGTGGACTGGAGCAACTCCTGATGGGCTTTATCCTCCATTACCTGTCCATCAACATAAGACATCACTGGATAAGAAACGGGTGTTCTGCAACTGTGGATCGGTCTTCCCTCGCAGACTCATCAAAATGCAAACCTGAGCATCCTTCAGAAAACTTGAAAACTCTCTTCTGTGTTTATGCTACTTTGTGGTTGCCAAAATAAGCTGCCAAAGCTTCTGTGGGAATATGCATCATATATTTGCAGCACTCACCAATAACAATGATGCTGAAAGTGCAGCTTGCCTTGTTTCCAGATCTGTCAGTTGCTGTATATGTGATGCCAACTTCCCCAATTGGGAAAAGGTAAGGTGGTGTAAAAGCAGGAGTAACCTGAATTGAAACCTATAATTATGAGAACAGATACTGTCATATAATTGACTGCATTTGACTTTTATGCATGTATATTTTAGCTTTTAAAGGTAAAGGTTTCCCCTTGACATTAAGTCCAGTCAAGCCTGACTCTAGGGGGTGGTGCTCATCTCCGTTTCCTAGCCGAGGGAGCCAGTGTTTGTCTGCAGACAGTCTCCGTGGCCATGTGGCCGGCATGACTAAACACCGAAGTGCACGGAGCGCTGTTACCTGCCCACTGAAGTGGTACCTTTTCATCTACTTGCATTTACATGCTTTCGAACTGCAAGGTTGGCAGGAGCTGGGACAGAGCAATGGGAACTCACCCCATTGTGCAGATTCGAACTGGCAACCTTTTGATCAACCAGCCCAGCAGCACAGCAGTTTAAACCACTGCGCCACCTGCAGTCCCCTTTTTTAGCTTTTGGGTTCACATTAATGTTATTAATGAACCACATGGCTGATGATTATTATTTATTATAGTTTTGACTTCCTTCTGTTTCCTTTCCAAGATTAGTCTCATTTTTATTACTCTGTAAACACTGGGGTTTTAGCCTTTGAGCATACTTAAGTGCTTATGTTTGGGAGCATAAGCCTCTCATCTCTGCTACTTTTCCACAGCCAAACTGCTATACTACTCCCCACAATTTGGTTTTACCCACATTTGACTAAGGATAGTTCTTTCTCCTTGCATGACTTCCTTAGATTCCTTGTAAGAGGAAGAAAAGCAGGATCTAAATACAATGTGATGTAAAAACAGAAAGGAAGTCACTGGGGAAGACTAGCAATGCAGAAAGGGCTCAGGTGCCCCCTTTCCCACATCAGTTTCCCACTGGATATTGCAGTCTGTACAGCTGTTTTAGGGGAAAGAATTACATTCCAGAACTGAAAGAAATATATACATGATTGACACATTGGGCAGATTCACATGCAATGACAAGCTATGGGGGAAACCACCATGGCATGGCTTGCGGTAATGTGTGAACTGGGCATGAGAGATGAAATGTGGTAAGCTGGTCTCCGTGCAGAAAAACAAGGTTCGTTGCTTGTTTTCTACACTTCACCATGTTTTGTTTGCTTGTCTGAACCTATCTGATCTCACATTTCTTGAACTGGATATGTCCTGAATGTAGAAATGAAAATATTCTCATGTTCTTTTATCAGTATTTTCATCTACTGATGTATTGGTTAAGTAGATCATTCACAGAAGCAGCTAAAAGCCAGAGCTGGCACCTAAAAACAGCTGGAATCCTCTGCACTCATATTTGTTTTTCAGAATTTAAGCCAGTTCATATCCATTATCTCAGTAAATCAGAACATATGAATTGGACCTAAAAAGAGTTTACATCAAGCTAAAAGCCCTGATGTTTGCTTACCTCATCTCTAGAATTATCACTTGCATCTGGAAACTGCCAGGTAATATTTGCAGAGTTCTGGTGTTCAAGAGTAGTAGTTTTAATGTCACCAGGGCAGGTAATTTTGGGAGGTTCGATATCTGTAGCAGAAAGACATATAAAAGTTTTGAGTATGTGCTTATTATGGTATTCTGGAAGAAACGATACTTCACTGGTACAATTTCTTTCTTACCACAAGAAACATACCTTAACTGGTAAAAAAAATTGACATAACTCTCATAAGGCTTAGCTACTGGCAGGAGAACCTATATATTAGCATATCCTTGGTATTTTTTCTGGTTTATGTTTCTCTGGCCTTTGGCCATACCAAACACTGGAATGCTGCCCTCGAGGGCTTCTTCAAAACTGAATTTCTCCAGGACACTGAAACAGGTTCCCATCCCTGGGCAAGAGTCTAGGCCTAGCAGTGAGATTCTAGGTGCCAAGGTGATTGTGGTGGCAATCATGAGAACTGTGGCAATACTGTGTATTGATACTAATTCAAACTTATCACCCAAGACCATTGGCTAAAGTTCTTTGCTGTTTATTTCCTAATGAAAGATGTGTAGTAATCATATTGAGTCAGAAAGAAAGAAGCTAAGCATCCTTTCTAAAATAAAGCAAGATCTGGGTGCTTCCTGGAAGTGATGTTAAATATATAATACAGCACTAAAAATGGTGCCATAATTCCTAACAAGTAAGATCGAGCATTCATTTTCTACACTAAGGAAATGTATGAGAGAGGTTGACTTAATAACCATCCCAGAAATTGGTGATGTTTATAGAAACACAAGAAAAAAACAAGTCAGAAGGGGCCTCCTGTCTGACCCTCGGCTCCAGCTGGCTCTGCTCATATAATCCCCAACCAAGGGATATCTGCCAGGGTGAAATATTTTAAAAATAAATTATCAAGGAGTACAGTACCTCAGAGAGCACCAAAGGAAATGTCCAGGGATACACTGGTGCCTCAACAAGTTATGTACTCCTGAAATAGAGGTTTAAACCCTGATTCCAAACTAGTAGTTATTATCCCACCCTTTTTCCCCATGTGAGAACTCAAGGAACTTTACATGATCTTCCTCCTCTCCATTTCATCTCCACTTAGTTGAAACACTAACCACGATAACATAATATTACATTGTGGTGAAGGCTGAAAAGGGAAGGAGGGAGGAATGTATGTAGGAAAAAGGGAGGAGGGAAGCATGGAGTATTTCTAAGCTCTTAACCATGGTCTATACTATGCCACTGTTAGAACTAAGATGTGCACATTGCTAACCTTTAACCAAAAAATGCTATTCTAAAGTTACACTGGTTATTTTAATATTGCACACTGATGAAGAACGATTTTTGCCATTCTAAGCTTTCATTGTTTTAGCGTCTTCCAAGTAACAAAATAGTTTTATGCCAAAGCTAAACAAAATTAGAGACATCTGACTCTGCAATGCAGCAGTAAAAATGTTTACAGATTCCTAAATTTAGTTAGTCTAAATAAGGAACTATTTTAGTAATGACACAATCAATACATTTGAGCAATTAACTCAATCCTGGTTTCTTCCATCTCAAACTTACTACTCATAATTTCCTTCAATTCTTCTCTTACCTCCCTTTTTTTTTAAACAAGAGGAAATCATCAAAAAAATCCATACCTTTACAGAAAGCATTCTGCACATCTTCAGTCCACCTCCCAGTAGTTAAACACCTTAATTCTTCTCTGATCCCAGTCAAAAGGAATCCATTAGGGCAACTGAACCTGCACAAAGTTCCATACTTGGAAAGCTGAAGCCCACAAATATGTGGGTGAACAATCACATGTTTTGGTTTCTGGAAGACCGGGCAATGCATTTCTAAAGAAAGCAAGTACATGAATGTCAATGAATGCAAACAGAATACAGCTGTTTATCAGTCAGTGGCGCACATTCTGATTTATGTTAAACCGACGAAGAAACATGAAACTGAGTTGGAAGGAAGAACTGCTGAAGGCTAACAAGCTAGCTTCTCTTTAGGGAAGTTGCCAAATAATGTAGTTTGTGTATGTAGTTCCAGATTTTAAGAAAATGTTGCTACAGGATTAGGTGAAGTCTTTTTAAAAATTTGCCACACATGCTCTTCTTACTCTCTCACCCCAAGAGTGTATAAGAGAAGGGGTAATGAGAAGGCTGTCGGATGGGACACCTATAACCCAGCTAGAACTCAGCTCAACACTTGGCTCCCTCTTCAGCCTTACCCCTGCCTATTGGCACAGGTAAAGCGGTAGGAGATGTTGAATCCCCAACTGGAGCTTGGTGCAATATCTGATCTTCCTTCCATCTTTTCTCCTGTCTACTCTGAAACACACAAGGGAGCAAATGTCGAGCTCCAGCTTGCCTGAGGTTGTTCCAGCAGCAGCACCATATCCCCTTATATCTTATGGAGCAGAAAAAGAGACTATCTTTTAGGAAGCCTCTCATTGCTTGCCTGGGTGTGTTGTCAAAAGCTGAGGGGCAAACTTTTTTTTTTTTAAACTGGGAGGAGTTTCCTCAAAAATTGATATATTTGACTCATCTTCTTAGCAAATGAAGGAAGTGTTTGCAAATATGGTTAAGGCCCAGATCAGAGAGTGTACTGAATCTTTTACGCTAATGTAAGTATGTTTTTAACATCTATACCACCCAATAGCTGAAGCTCTCTGGGCGGTTCACAAGATGTAGATGCAAAGGATCCACCACCACTTATACTAGGATCTAGATCTGTATCAGGGCTGTGGGTTTACGTGACCATACAAATGGGGTGGGGGAAGACAAGACAGCTAGACACACATTTAATGTCTGTTGCAATGTTCAGTGGCTGATTACACCTGCACGGGAGCCAGCAGTGTCTGGAGATAAATCTGAAGTTCAGAAATATTTGATGACTGCCAAAAGGTTGAATAGAAATGAAAGATACTGCATTGTTTATGACCACGTATTTATGCATTGTTGTTGTTAGTCACGAAGTCATGTCCGACCCATCACGACCCCATGGACAACATTCCTCCAGGCCTTCCTGTCCATCATCCACCAGAGTCCACTTAAGCTCATGCCAACTGCCAACTAGCCAACTGCATCTAGACTCCATCTAGCCACCTCAATCTCTGCCATCCCCTTCTTCTTCAATTGTTCCAAGCATTAGGCTCTTCTCCAGTGAGTCCTTCTTTCTCATTAGGTGGCCAAACTATTTGAGTTTCATCTTCAGTATCTGGCCTTCTAAAGAGCAGTCAGGGTTGATTTCCTCTAGGACTGACCGGTTTGATCACCTTGCAGTCCAAGGGACTCACAGGAGTCTTTTCCAGCACCACAATTCAAAGGCCTCAATTCTTCGGCGCTCAGCCTTCCTTATGGTCCTTTATGCATAGTTTACATCAATAGTGCCCAATTTGTTTAGCACTGGGAACTGAATGAAAGCAGAGCGTATACCTGAAGGGTTACATCTTAATATATTTTAGACAGATGGACTTGATGTGCTCATTAATTTAAAAATGCACAAAACTTGTTTTAAATTTCAAAAGCTCATTTTAATGTTATGGTTTCCAAGTACGTATAAATATACTGCCATTATAGTTTTCAAGATTTTATCTGCAGTTCTGGAAGCTAGAAACCATTTGTTTCACCTGGGTTTTTCAGTTCTAATGAAATCCAAAAGTTTATTTTTCTCTCTCATATGTGACACAGTTTTTAAAAACTGTGGGAGAAAATAAAGAAAATGTAATAAATTGTAGGACAAGTGCCACGGAAACTGTAACCAAACTTTCTTGAAACAAGGGTTGCTTCTTCACATGGCTTTTTGTTCATTTGTGGAATTGCGCAGTCATTCCAGATGTCATTGTCTTCAACCTGTAGCCAATCTGTGTTTTCACACAAGTTTTTCCTATAATTTTCTTACCAGAAGAAAAGATAGAGTGATGGCACAATTACTTTTGACTGTACACTAGGAGCAATCTTTCTTGAAGCACTCAAATATAGGTAACTAAAAATATACATGCACATTTATGTTTTGCTTTATATTTTCAGAGTATTTTTGTTGCAGTTACAACTGTCCATGTTTTGTGATCAGCATTTTGTTGGTTAAAAATAAAGTTTAATGATGAGTAATATGGCTTTACAACTACTTCAGTATAGCTGCTTTGCAAAGCTGTAAGCTAGCTTTTCCCAGCCTGGTGTTCCCCCAGTTGTGGTGTTCTGAAATTCCCATCATCCACAGCATGCATCCCACTCTGGTTTATGATGACAGTTGTACTGTACCACATCTGCAGGGCAGCAAATTCGGGGAGGCTTGAAAGGTAATAATAAGCCTTTATTAGTTTAATAAAATAATATAAATCCTGGTCAAACAACAAACAGCAATATTAAAAAAAACAGCATACCCACACACTTTGGTTCCTTCCCATCCCACTGTGCGTTTCCTTGACAGGTAAGTTTGGAGTTGCCTTCAAGTTTATAGCCCTCAGCACAGGTCACTAAGCATACAGTCTTATACGAGATCTCACTTAATGAGCAATTAATATGCCCATTTTGAGGAGCAAAGAGTTTGGGACATGTCCGAACTGCAGAAGTTAAAAGAAGTATGTTAATACTTTTACAGTGGAAAGTACTGAGTAACAGATACATACACCATCCATTTTTCTTGGCAACCGTGTTTCCCAAATGGCCTCAAATGAGACCGCTGCAATTACAAATGTAGTATTAGGCATTTTGTTGGCTGAACCCAATGAAATGTCCTTAAGATAACTCATAAACATATGGGACTTATTTGTGCAAAGGGTCCTAACTGAAGAGAGAAATTTCCTAAGGATCAAATGGTTTATGACCTTGGGAGATCTTTATCTATATATATAGTGCTCTCTGTGTTTGAATAGTTTACCTGTGTCACCTGGCTCATTTGCTCTGCAAGGGCAAGGCAAAAGTGAATCCCATGCAAGCCCCCTCCATCTAAAGAGCTTACCTTTACCTGTCCCAATTTGCAGGTTTTTTCTTAGGAATCTCAGACAGCCAAGCCAGATGAGCATTTCATCTTCAAATGGCTTTCATAAGTATATCCTCATACTCAGCTCCTGGTCCAAATCCCACCTTTCTTTTATCACTATTACCCTTCCCCTTATTTCTTTTTCACCCTGTTCCCTATCTCATTCCAGGTCCTACAGGGCAAAATTCAGGCCTCTTTAAAATAAAAATGCAAGGCCTGCGAATATGAGATGATCTCCACTCTTCTTCTCCTGTTAAGCAACTGTCAACTATGAATTGAGAAAATGACAAGAATGTAATTGCAGCCATTCAGAGAAACCCATACAATTCCAAAGCTAATAAGCAACAACATCTACTGAAATACCAATCAAATTAAGTCAGCTTTATAAATACATAGCTCTGTATCTCTTAACCACAGACAAGGCCCAAAGAGTAATAGCTTCAGCAACAGCAGCAACCTTTCTCATTCAGGGAGTATATTATAGAAGATTTGCTAACTGAGCTTTTAAACAATTGAACAAAAGAACAGGAGACATTGTGCCAACCCAAACATTCATCTAGCATCTGTGCTTCAGGAATGTCTTGCTATTGAATTCCAGAATACTGACCTTCTCCAATCCTACCTCCTGTGCTTTCTGAATTTTTAAAAACTAAGTATGTACTTTTTTTTTTAAGCATGGTCTTCTGGAAACACAATTTTTACTACAGCTATATTTATTTGGTGAACTTCCTTACTTCTGAGGCACGTTTTCATAAGAAAGGAAAAGCGTTTTACATGAGGCTTGTCAGACAGAAATATAATTTAAACCTGTAGCAGTTTTAAAGATCATCATCAGATTCCCTCCACCTACTCACCTTCTTCAAGCCCAACCAGAAAACTTCAAAAATCTTTCTAGAGCTAGCAGAAAATACTCAGAGACACACTATTATCTCTAGCTCATGCCAACAGTTTAAAAACAGGCATCTGTGGCTATATTGTCTATCGTTATTTGTAGTAGACGCCAAATACTTGGGGGTGCTGTGGGTCTTTATTAACCTTATGTTTTTCGGTTTCCGTGATTAGAACACTACTGTACTATGCAAAGGGATCTCCTTGCCAAAATCCAAGCAAAACAGACGAGGTAGAAGGGACTCCACTGCTGCCATTTCCATGTTCTTTAAGATTGTGGGTGTGGGAACTTTGTTCAGTACGGTATCACCTACTTTACTATAGTTATATTGGATTTTCTACTTGTAGTACATTCATCCTAGTACTTTAAGCATTTCTCAAAGAGCAATCTAGCCAAAAAGCAGAACGTTTTGTCCTCATAAATGCTTGAAATAAAATCTAGTTCAGGTCCAGCTTTCAGCCCTTTCTTCTTCTCTCCTAATATGCATACATAAATGCATGTATAATACCCCTCCCACACACACCCTCAACTCAAGAATCTCTTTTTGCATTCACTGTGAAATCAGCAGTTCCCTTATTCATTTGATGCACACCGAATGAAACCAGCACTTATGGACTACACTTCTCCATGCAAGGCTAATCTATCTATCTTTCCTTCCTTCCTTCCTTCCTTCCTTCCTTCCTTCCTTCCTTCCTTCTTACTTACTTACTTACAATATCTATATGCTGTCCTATTCACAAAAAGCCTCAGGACACCTTACAGCATAAAATATAACATACATAAATTCCTGACCCACACTGGCTGCAGTTAAAAACATAGAAAAGACAATTTTAAAACTTATTAAAATATCGCTGGAATAAAAAAGTCTTAACCTGGCACCGAAAAACAAACAACAGCGTCAGGCAGACCTCTCTGGGGAGCGCATTCCATAGACGGGGCGCCACCGCAGAGAAAGCCCTCCTCCGGGTACTTTGCCTCCTAATATCTTTCACGGAAAGTTCCCGGAGGAGAGCCTCTGCTGCCGATCTCAAGGCGCGGGAACGCAAATATGGAAGAAGGCATTCCTTCAGGTATCCAGGTCCCAAGCCGTTAAGGGCTTTATAGGTAATAACCAGCACCTTGAATTGAGCCCAGACTTCGATGGGAAGCCAGTGAAGCTGGCAGAGGACTGGGGTTATGTGAGAATGAAGCCCAGTCCCAGTCAGCAACCTGGTTGCTCTGTTTTGCACCATCTGAAGTATCTGGACTGTCTTCAGGATGTCTTTTTTATATCTTTTTTATTCCAATAGACTGCACACACCCACATGGGTGTTTCAAGTATACATTTTCAAAACATATTTGAAATTGTTTAGTTCAATCATCAAGTTTCTGTGATCAGAAAAATCCGAGGTTTACTCTTTTTTGGAGGGTGGGGGAATCAATCAAGGACTAATTTTACTGCAACTGTTCTTTCTTTCCTGGCCATTGCTTCAATTTATTTTACAGAGCTGCTGTGCAACTGCATATGTGCCAGCCATTGCTTATCACACTTCTGACATATTTTGGCTAAGCAGAGCGAGCACACATTTAACGTCACAACATCAATGTGAAGGCATTAATATCCTTCTGCTATCCTTTCAAAATGTATATTATAAAAAGCTGGGAAAGGGCATTTGTGTTGGGATTAATATGATGGCCCATAAAATAGTTCCTTTGATCTCCAATTTGCTTACAACATGCCTTATTAATGTATGAATAGAGATCAGCACCCAGAGCCCATGCCAACTTGAGCACTGCTCTTCTAAGAAACGTGTACACTAGCAGAAAACAAAGAACAGAGGAGAATAAGAAGAGCTATCTTTAAAGCCCTTCAGAAGAAGCTAATGGAATGGGGAGGCAACAGCAAGGCCCTGGCTTATCTCCACTTACCAGTCAAAGTCACTAATTTTGGCTTAAGTAAAAACTTGTGAAATCTTTTACCAATCACCTCACCACAACCAGCAAATAAATAAGCTGAAAATACGAGTTCTTCAAGAATTCCAATTTGATGGCAATGAAATGAAATGTTACAGCCAGTCCAAAAGATCAGCCAGCACCGTTCTGATTTGCAGTATCATCTGGATCTAGTTTCCCTTGTTACATGACGCTTGCATACGGGCCCACATTGCTGTGCATGCATATTTGCTTGTGGGCATGTTGTTAAATGGTTTTTGCAGTCGGTAAAAGCTGAATCACATGTGATTAACTAGTTCTACTAATGTACATGGGTTAGTTCTACTTAGAGAAGACCCATGGAAATGAATGGGAATTAAGACAGAATAATACTGGATATGACCCTATGAAAAGATTTTAAAGAAAACATAGGGTAAGTATAATGTTAAAATGGAAAATCTGTGACAGAAATTCCTATAAATTTCCACAATACATTAGGAGAAAGATAGAATTACAGAAAGGATGGATTACTATGTATAAAGCTTTTTGTAGATGACTTTCTCTTCTTATTGTTTCATATTTAAAAGCTGAAACTGACATACATCAGGCTTTGCTGCGATAGTCTTGCTTAGATCACAGATACCTTAACCTTTTTGCTCCTGTGGATCCCATGTAACTACTTGCAGGGGCCTCATGAGAAAATGCCCAGCCACAGAGATATAAAGACACAGCCTTCCCTCCGCTCACTCTCACGTACCACAAACACTCAGACATGGAGATACAGGCTGACATACAAGCATGTGCGCGCGCATACACACTCTTAAACACAGACATACAATATTTAATTGCATCACAACAAATAATACTGTGAGGTTTCTACTGTGCACAGTTTCCTGTGGGTGTGCCTGAAGGACAGTCAAGCTTATCATGGTACTCTCCTCCTATTCACCATTTTCTCCCTTCTCAGTCTTCAAGGTGGTATCCCAAGAGGATCCTCAGGGAGGAATGAGGTTCCTCACTTGGACAGCCATGATCAAGAGCGGAGTTTGGCTTACCACAGCTTTCAAGCACTCTCTCCTGCTTGTCAGTGGGCCCCTGTCAGGGAATGGGCTGTTGGCAGGTACCCTGCCATGTCCACCCTTGACTCCCTGGTGGATGGGAGCTTTAATGACTGGATGCCATGTGCATGCATAAGATCCAATATCTGCAGGCCCAATAAGATCAGTCCTAAAAAACTTAGAAACATTGTTCGAACTGCAGAGGGATCTTATCTTGACTCTAACGTTTGAACTCTGGATGGTTTGAAATTAGAGTCCAGCTGTGTGGCCCGGTTCCTAACAGGCTGCAGTCCGTGGCAAGGGGGTTGGAGACCCCTGCCTTAGGAAATGCAATTCAATGCTTCAGAATAGGGGTGGTGGTGGTGGTGGTGGGAAATCCTGGACCAAAGCTGGAAAAAAGGAAAAGGAGAGAATAAAACAGCCACCAGGGGGAAAGGGCGAGTCCTGAAAATTGGGACCACAGGCCTAAGGTTTCATACCCTTTACTTACATATGTTGTATTGTTCATGTATGCACTTAATCCAAGCATTTCACCCATGCATGGATACTCATTGGACAGGTGTACCTAGTGGGCATGGCATAAAAGTGCAATTTTTCTCCCCACCACATACCAGAGCGAGATTCAAGAACTAGTCAAAGGCAAACAGCAACCATTCCTTCCAAGCAAAAGCTTTCCTACCCCTGCATGTTGCTTCTGAACCAGACCACAAGCCATTTGGCTGGCAGAGTCGAATGCTGCTTCCCACAAGGTCAAATCCTGTTTTGCATCGGATTCCACATGCAGCGTTGAAGTGATTGTTGCAGACATTCTGGACAAAATACCCATTTTCAGGCGGATGCAGCACAGGGCAGTGCACCACTAATTAGAACAAACAACAGTTAGAAACTGGTGGTAAATACTTAGAAAGCAATCAGCTATCATCTCTACTCAGAAGTAAACCCTGCTGAATTCAACAGGGTTTCCTCCCTGGTAAGACTGTGCTGGATTACAGCCTTAATTGTTGTCCTTTCCTGTTATCTCTGAGTGGGTTAAAGAAAGCAATCGAGAGATAAACTTGAAATGGTATTTGTACTAATTTGCTAGTCTAAAATAAATCTCATGTACAGACTGAAAGATCATTTGCACACTGATACAGTCCATGTGGTTTTTCGATTCGAAGCAGTGTTGTAAATGTGTTCTTGAGAACCCTGATGTGCTCTGAACATTTCTTAGGGCATGGATGGGAAACTTCAAGGTTTTTGAGGGTCACTCACTCTACCATGGTAGTGCCAACAAGAAATTAATGTTTTGCTAGCAAAATACAGCAGAAAACTGCTGCAGGGCCTTAGAAAGGCCAAATACAGCTCGAAAAGAAGATCTCAGGATCCATAGTGGTGTGCAAATGAATTTCAGTAGCAAACTGCCATCTTCTGATGGTGGGGTGACAATGGTGGATGTTGCTGGCAAGTCATGTTACCCACCCATGTTCTGCAGGGGCCTTAAAGAGACTTAATAAAGGACAGACCATTCAACCCTAAGAGTTGCCTGGTGCAGTGCACAGCCTCAGGAAAGTATGTGTGGCATTCTAGGGTTGGTCAGCACCTGACATCAATGGAAAGTGCATCCCAACACGAATCCTAGAATTCTGTGCCATGTTCATGTGTCCTTTGGAGAAACGAAAGTGATTCTTGGTAGATTCTTTGTGAGTGTTTGGAATAATTGTACAAAAAATTAGAAAACAAACTAGCTGCTAGTTTAAAACAATGTTAATTCTTATAATATTCTTTGCTTAGCTGGTTTCTTTAGGGAACCTCTTACCTTCACAAGTCTGGCCTCTGGAGCGATAGCCTTCCTTGCATATGCAGTCCTCAGCAGAGGTACTTCCTGGTGGGGAGGTGTGATTCTCATCAGGACAGGAGATGCAGGTACTAATTCCACCTGGTGAACCTTCAGGTTTGTAGGTCCCTGATGGACAGACTATAAAGCAAAGTACGGGTGATAAAAGACAAGTCATGACCAGAGTACCTAAACATATTGCAATCTTACATTTTTCCTCCTCTCCCCACACTCAGGTGTCATCCAATTCTGGTTGCAAAATGTGATGCCAAAGCCTTCTATGTATTTTATTTGCAGCATGTAGTGATATATGTTATCGTGAACTTCAGCAAAGATATAGCCAATCTTGACTTTCAAGAGAAACTGATATAAAACATGTGCTTGGCAGGTTTATCATATGGAAATATTTCAATATTCTTGCACTTACTTTTACCAAGGTGACTAATTCTCTTTCTTTTCATAAATCCAATCTAGCCAAGATTCTTACCCAGTGAATCCATATAGTGATGTCCTTTTCCCTTTCAAAGTGGCACTTTTGTAAATTTCTTCCATGCAAAGTAATAGGCATTATAGAATACATATTGGACTTCTGGGGAATGGTGACTTGATGAAGCAGCAATGAATGTTGCTGCTTTCTGCCTTATCATATTTGGGTGCTTATAAACCCCCGGGGGATGTTTACCTCTCTAAATGACAGGTGAGTATCAAGACTCTCCTCTATAGTTCTGATTACATTGAGATGGTCTGATAAAGTAAAACTGGAAACAGTTAACAAAGTTGCCCTCCCCCACACTTACTCCTTTTTTCTTTTAGTTTTTATTATTCCTTTTTATATTATGTCATTTTTTGGCCAAGGGAATAACAGCAATTTGATGCAGCTTGAACTCTTAAGGCATTTTTGTTTGCATATTTTGAAGGGACTCTGAAATGGAAAAACTTTTGCTGATAGATGGAGTCTCATCTGCAAAGCTGTTTAATGTCTCTACTCTAGAACTAAGAATTATGAATACCGTAAACTGACCTTGGTATGAAAATACTAGCTGGGTGAATTTTTGTGCTTAATTGTACCTTTTGAATTGAAAAGGAGGACAATGGCGCATTTCAGACAGCTTAGACTTGAGGCTATGATTTTGGTTGTGATCCAGATTTTAAGGCATTTATGTTTCTCTGCTCGGAAAGGACTTTGAAGGGGGTACTCTTCTACTTAATTCTGCAGCAGTAAATTGTCTGATTTTTTTTTCAAAAATCCAGGACATTACAAATTGACCTTGGCTGAAGCTCCCTGTAGCAGAAGAAATGGTTCTCTCCCCCTTCGTCGCCATTTTTAAGGGAGTTTGCTGGTTGTTCAAGCCAGGATTTTTTAATTGTTGTTTTTGATCTAAATTATGCATGATTTGCTCAACGGAACAATTGTATCTCCCTGATGGGACTTGAGAGTTTTTTTTCTGGTCCTACCCACCCCCACTTAAGAATAAAAAATAAATAATCCTAAAGAACAAAGAACAAACATGATGTACTATAAGAAGACCACCATTAACTCCATCTATTGGACCTGGAGAAGATTGGAAGTCAAGGCCCCTTGCTATGAAAGTTGGAACAATGCCTCTTCTTAACAAACTAATTCAAATGAATATTTTAATAGAGATAGAATGGGACTAATAATTCTAATATTGATAGGAGGCTGATTACTAGCTTTAATCACTTTTGTCTTGTGTCCCTTTTCTTTCTCTCCCCCCCTTATCTTTTTCCCCTTCCTTTCCTTCTTTCTTGACTCTCCTCCCTTAATTCTTCTGCTTTAAGCTGTACTGTCAAATTGTAGTTTACTTATAGCTATGAAGAAATGTGAAAGGTTGAAGTGCGAAGAAGAAAAGAATTAATGAGAGAAGGAAATCTGAATTGGATGCTGGAAAGCTGATGACAGATTTGAAAAGAGTTGTCTGAGCACCTTAGATTGAGTTTTAGAGACAGGGTGAAAATATTATCAATTGATATTAATGCACTGAATTTTTCTTTAAGAGAATCGAAGCAGTTTTTCATGAGTCTTAAAAACAGTGTCAGAGCCTTTCAGGAAATATGTCAGAGTTAGGACTGCAGCTGGTTCTGGATGGAGATCACCGGTGCCTCCAGCAACTGAAGAATGGAGAAATGGACTGGTGGACTTCTCTGTTTAGAAGATGGTTAGAGGAATGTGCAGCATGGTAAGTGGATCTGAGGTGTTTAAAAAAGAGAGGGAAAGCTGTGGAGGATCTGAAATGATTGGAGCATTTGTTGTTGTATAGATTAAGGATTTCTTTTGTGTTACATTTTTATGGAATGCTGATGGATAGATTTTGGGGGCTGATTGTACAAGTTGGATCTGTACTGAATTCCCTTGGCAACTTTGTCTATTTCAGCTTGTTCTGTTTATTATAATTGTTTTGCTTTCAAAAATAATAAAGAAAATAAAAAAGAAATAGGCATTGTAAAAAGTATGCATTTAAGAGGTTAATATACTTGGCACTACATATTAAAATGCATTTATTCAGTGAACTCAATTACAAGTGGGAAATAATCCTTACAAGGCATTTTCCATACCTGATGCTAATAACTGGTCAGATTAACCAGTTTTATTATCTGCTTTGCACTGCTATAGAACCTCAGAAGCCTATTAATTTGCTCTCCTCTCTACACAGGGTAGAACTGCTAACTCAAAAATTTCACGAGACCTAAAGCAGAAGCCAAGCAACTTCTGGTAGCGGTGTCACCAGATCCAACTTCCATACCAAGCAGGAAGATATTCTAAAGAAAATAACTCAGAATCATTTAGATTTTTGTGCTATCGTAACAAGATGGCTCAGAACAAGCTACAAAGAAGAAAAGTAAAGAGCCCAACTACTGGTACAAGTTCCCTGAAGGCAGAGAACGTCCCTTTTGGCTGTGACGCTTGCACAGTCCTATGCAACTTCTGGCTTCAGTTTCTATGGATTCTGTTTTATGATACGTGTCTTGTTGATGCTGTGAGACAAAAGTCTAGGCAAAGTAGGCATGTTGCTTTAGTCTCAGCACTAGTATACAAACATTTCTTGGCCCACATACACTTCCCGGGTCCATGGCTTTTGTGAACCACCCAGAGAGCTTCTGCTACCACTTAAGTGTAAATACTTTTTATTTACACCATTAACAACACCTGCTCTCTGTGTATTTGCGGCCTTAGAGCTGCCCAGGCTAGAAAAAGGAGGACATATGTGGCTCATGGCTACATATTTGTGATTTGTTTGTCAATAACTTCTATGCAACCAAAATGTTCACAAATTTAACCTGTGTTCCTCCCACAACTTTCCCAAAACTGATAAAGGAATATTCATCTCAAATACAATGGGGTCAGTAAGAGAACATGGAAGAATAAAAGTAGACTTCCTTCTCCTTTGACAACTGCTTTTGTGAGTTCTCAATGTATCTTCAGGCAACTACACACTTAGATTTCATTTTTTGGGGTGGAGGGGGATCTGAAACAAGCAACAATCCAATGCCATAGTAAATGAGCATGCACTTCATTCTACTGAGCCGCTAAACTCAAAGAGCAAAATATTCCAGCACTGCACATAACAGTGTCTTTAATGCACTTATAAATTAGCAAACAATAAAGCAGGCCAACGCTGTGTAATTCCTTTGCTTCATTTTAAATAGTGTACTGATCTGACAGATTTAAATGCTTCAGTAGTCCTGGCATGAACAGGTGACATAACTTGAAGTCAATAATTCTCACTTGCTAGAATTCCCATGTATTGATTTATATTTAAGGCTGTGAGAAAGGAATGTGAACTCAGAATATGATACTACACATTTGTGACATGCTATTAGTCTCATGTTATTGTTCATCAACTTTGTCTCTCCATTCAAGTACCAATCTTGATTTTGCATCATTCTTGAAAGCTTTGATGGATATAAGCAGTTTTCCTCTTCACAAAGTAAACCTCTACAAGCAGAAGGTGATGAACATGAAAATCAGATATGGGTAGTACACACCCTCTCATTACATGATTTATCTCCTTGGTTGATAAATGACCGAATGAAGCTAACATGGACGCACAATTAGATTGCCAAAGTACAGGGAATTCCACAGATAAATCCAATATGCACTATTTTATTAGTGTTTCATTTATACACTACCTTTTTTCTTCTTGCAAATAACCCACCAGGGCTTACACAGCCCTCTTTCTCTCTAATTTGTCCTCACAACAACCCCATGAGGCAGTGTAGGTTGAAAGTCACTGGAGACTAGAACCAGAATCTCCCAAGTGTCAGTCCAACATTCTAACCACTATACCACACTGGTTGAAGACATGACCAGTAGTCAAATACGGACCATGTTAAGAACCTTCCGGAAGAGTACAAATCTTCATGCTTAGGTTGTTAGTTCCTGGAACCTTGCCTAATATTTTGCTTAGGTTTTGGCAAGCGTACTGTTCATCATCCCCACTTCCACCTCAGCATTGCAGAGTATAATTAATTAACTGCAATTTTTGATCATTCAATAACCAAAATTCTCCTAAATGTGTAATAGCCAAATATAAAACAGAAACAATAAACAAGGATAAAAAGTAGCATGTCAAGCAATCAGAACGGCCAAAACAATATGGCCCATAAAACCAAAATATATCCAGCAATAACATAGAACAATGCCAACACCTAAATATGCTAAAATAATGTTTGTGATGGCTGGGAGAATGAAAAGCGTTCTATCTAGTCCTGAAAAGTTTAGAAAATACGTATCAGGCATTCCGTACATGGGCGCCACCACTAAAAAGGCTCTCTCACCTAGCCATCCATCTCACTCCATTTAATGAACTCATTTCATCCCATAGAGGAGCAAAGGCAAAATCAGTCCTAAAGCCAAACTGAGATGGATCTAGAAAGTCAGCTTCACCCAAGAATTCTTGGAATTTATGATTGACTATTTATTTGAGCACCTTGCCGAGGAAGGGAGTTTAGTAATCAGCCTATAGCAGTTATTGTTTTTGATGCTTTATTATTGTTATTACACTGTAAATATCTTCTGGGTCCACGCTAGCTTTCTTCTTGGAATGACCTGATCCCACCTCTTTTAAAGAAGTTGGTCCCTCCCTATCTTGCAAAACTCAGCCAGACATCTCCTTCCTATT